GAAATCCTAGCTAAAGAAAAGGACACTATAAGAAAGGAATATTGGAGATATATTGGGAGATCCCTTCAAAGCAAACACAGCACAGAAAGTGATCCACCAACAAATGTACAGCAATAACACCATCTAGAAGAATTTGATGAAATGCTCTTTTTTTTTAAGAGACTCTAATGCAGGAGTTTAAAGCTAGAGTGACCATTCCTTTTGCCTGTGGTGTAAAACATGCATTACACAGGTACTGCTTTTTAACAGAACTAAGTGTGATGCTCCTTGGGTGCTGCTGCTATTCAGCAAGTTCTAAGTAACTTGGTTCTTTCAAAGCGAAGTTATTTGTGGAGAGGGAGAGGAAACAGAAAATCCCGTAAAGAAACTTTTGTAGTCTTATCAAAAGTTACTCTAAACCCTTAGTATCACCTTCTTCCTAAATAATATGTGTGTCAGGATTTGCAGCAATAATGATTGCAGGTAACTTGTATGTAATGGACGTGAGGTAACTTAAATTTCGGTTCAGTAAGCGGGGAATGCTATAGTTATATTAGAGCTGCTAAGCGACACTCACAGTATCTTGCTATCACTGTAACCAACTAATGCCAAAAGAATGGTTTTATAATAAAATTATAGTTGTATCCTAAAACAATGCCACAGTAGTTTGATTTTTTAAAAAAAATAACATTTAACTATATACAAGGGACATTATGTCAGCCTAGAAAAGAAATTGAAGAAGAAAACATTATAAAAATGTAGAAACCAGAAACATAATGATTTAAGGGAAATGTTATTAAAATGTGAATTGGTCAGTTCTTAACTACAAGCAACAAAATGCACTCAAAATAGTTTTAAACTAAGCTCTCCTACCCACCTGTGACTGCAGGGACTCTGTTTTTCTAATAATCCTGTGCTGTTAAAATGTAAAAAAAAAGTTTAAGCCCACAGGATTTATTAAAGTGTGTGTGTGTGTGTATTATGTGTGTGTATATATATACCATATATACACATAATATATATTATGAACTGTATATATACATTATATATATAATGTATATATGTGTACACACACACACACATACATATATACAGTTCACTGAAAATTGCCTGCGCTTCTAAATCCCAAAACCACACTATAGGACTGTAGGCTGTTGCCTGTGCTGGGATCAGGAAACCTGCTGAAGGGGACACTGCCGCTTTTAGGACTGTTCATCTCTGCCGTGATCCTTGTGAGCTCAATTGCTTCCCTGTCCACATGAAGCTGCTCCAAACCAAAGATGCAATTTAAATGCATCCTCTTAGAACCTAAATGAAAGGAATGTGGGAAGCGTAGTTCATAGCTTCCCAGCCTCTAATTCAGGAAGATGTGCTAGGAGTTGAAGTGCTGAAAAGTTAGTCACTGTACCTGCACATAGTTCAGTCTCATTTTATTGATAAAGAATTTTTGCTCATTGTTCAAAGCACCACACTACAACTAAAGAAATTATATAGTCATCTCAAGAATTTAGGAAATACCAACATTTTAATACTTCTGAACAAAAAGTATTTTGGGGGTATTTTTAGCATTTTACAAGTTAGTTTTTGTTGTTTATATACTCCAGAAATCTATGATTTTCTACTTAAAATTTTCATAAAGTTCCATGCCTGTGTAGACAATTTTAAAGTCCATAAGGAATAAAAACTATATAGAGAAGTTTGCGTAAGGTAGCATTTATCCTCAGAAATAGCCTCATGCGTTCCAAAATTCAGGACTGGAGTCAAGACTGCTGACTTGACAAAACTAATAGAGACTGTTTAATCACAAAAAGCACAATGAAAATTTACTAATTTACATTGAGAAATACATAATTGAAATATGTAATTGTAGTGTGTTTCAACCCAGCCACTAAGCATTTTCTGCCTGAAGTCTAGATGGCAATTCACTTATCAGAAGTTTGCTTAGTAAGCATAGAATCAGGTGAGGACCTCTCAAATATTTTAGTCTAATAATCCTAATAAGGGCATCTCCTGACAGGTAGCTGGATACATAGACCCAGCAGCACACTTCTTTCATTGGGCCAGCGATTGAAAGTATCTGTGGAGGTCTGTCAGTTCAAAGCTTTTTGCCTAATATTACCACCACTGTGCTGTTACTTACAATGTTGGTGCAAAAACAATGGTGTAAAAACTGCTGGTGTCTTAGCACAAATCAAGGCAGTGGTATTCAGTAGTTATTGTATTCCTCACTGTCACGCATTCACTGGCAAATGTCCCTGATGATCATTAGTTACATACTTTATTCACAACACTGGGTCTGTCTTAATGTATTCGTGTGACTGAATGAAGTATACATGAAGCATCTCTTTTTGGTTGTCTTGAAGAAAGCATTTGTGCAATTATGTAAGTTATGGGCAGAATGGACTGCTTTTCATGAACACCATATTTATTTGAACAAACAACTGTTAAGCTGGTTATTCATACTTGGATGACTGATACATTTTCTCAAAAACAAAGTGAGTTTGTCACTTCAAGGACAGCAATTGTTGCCAATGACAAAATTTGATGTTTCAAATGAAATTTTAAGATTTCAAGGGATATCTCTGTAATTAACCAATCAATATTTTCCAGATGACCAATCCATGATTTTATGGTAGCAGATATGGATAGTCGGTTCATGTCACAGGATATAACAGTACAGGAAGTTCATTGAGAAGGTTGTAGAATTCATACTGCAATTAAACTTTGAGAACCTACCACTTGTCAAATATTGGTGTAGTATCAAAGAAGAAAATCCACAACTTAGGAAAAGGCTATATTCCCTTTCCAACTGTATATCTGTGAGTATGAGTCTGGATTTTCATCGTATAGTTTCAACCAAAATACTATGTTGCAAGAGAATGAATAGAGAAGCAAATGTCATAATCTAGAGGTGTTCTATTAAGTTGGAGTGAAGAAACTTGCAAAAATGTTTTAAAATGACATTTTTCTGTTTGGGGGGGAAATATTTCATAATGTAATTTTTGTTAACATGTAATGGGTTTATTGCTTTATTAATGAATTAATAAAAGTTTAAATTTCAGATATGGTAAATACCAATAGCTACTACCTAAATAAAGAAAAGATGGAGTTAAAGTATTACAATGGACTACTACTCAGGTATAAGAAAAGATGAATTTTTGCCATTTACAACAACATGAATGGAAATGGAAGGGATTTTTTTTTTACACCATGATCACATACGCACACTCTATAAGCAACCCAGCCAGCTATTTTGCTCATTACCCAGAAAACCAAACTCTGAACCATGAGAATGGAGGATGTCTTTTCACAAAGAAGTTATTCAAGATAGTCACCAACATAGTTTTGGTGACATTAACACCCTATACTAGCTCCCTGATTGATGAGTGCTGGGATTATGTAAGTGGGGGAGGAATGTGAGGATGTACAGGACATGAAGGGAGTGAGGGTCTGCTAATTCCCAGGGTGCTGAAAATTGACTTACATCACTTAACAAGAATTCTCTGTGCCCCTCTGAGGTTGACAGTAACATCAAGGACAAACATCTGGGTTTTTCAGGCTGAAAACCCCTCCAAAACACCCCTGAATGCCCTTTGCCTCCTCCACCTGGAGGGAATTATTCTAAGTGAAGTAAGTTGGAAAGAGAAAGACAAATGTGGGATGATCACACTCATGTGAAATATAGAGAAAACACAGGAACTGACACAACTAAACCAAAATAATGACTAGAAATATGACTGCAGAGTTGAGGTCACTAGAGGAGGAGGGAGGCTGGGGGAACACAGGAGGCGGCCCAGTGGTCTATGCTGAAGAACTGCATGCTTGGGTGGTAGGGATGGGTTGGTAACACATCTGTCAAGCTGTGAACCTATTCCTAAATCCTGTACAGTAGGTAGTAGCATTCTTTGGGCTATTTGCCAAAATTGCAGGCCAATAACTGCTGGTTATTTTAATTTTCATTGTTTGGATTAGCTGCAATGGATTAATTTTTAAACCACATTGTTCTCTTGATTCCAAACTTGGAAAATGTGTTAATGTGGAAGAAGATAACACTTGTAATTTTGATAAAATGCTATTGAGGGCCTCCCAGGTGGCACACTGGGTTAAGTCAGCACTGAAGCTATCCTCAGTTCAATCCCCAGCCACACTGCGCAACAGACCTCTCCTGCCTCGCCAGCTGCTCCCCGCAGCAGTGTATTTCAGTGGATCTGCCTGTTCTGCTCCCCACTCTTGTCTTTGGGAAAACCTCGCCCGCCCCCCCCCCACACACACACCTCTGCCCTACACCCCAGCTCTTGAATGCAGCATAAATAATAAATCTTTAAAAAATAACAAAAATAAAATGATATCTTAAGCCAGACTTGATGTTGCAACTCCCCACCCCTCATTTTCCACCAGATACAAATGCCTGCATATGTTGGGGTCGTGTTTAGCAACTTCCATTCCCTTTTCCAAATAGTACTCCGCCTTTGGGGCGGGTTGGAGAATTTCTTGCCGGCAGGTTGGAGAAACTCCACTCAATTTTCCACTTCTGGGCTAAGCTAAATGAGTTTCCCTTCTCCTAGAAAGCGATTCTCACCTTCAGCGGCATCAGCAACACCCGGAGCCCTTGACAGATTGCTGGACCCCATCCCAGGTTTGGGATGGGAGCCGACAATATGCATTTCTAACAATTTCCCTGGAGATTTTGAGCAGTATCCCAGAAGCATCCAGTATCGGGCCCTTGGACCACACTTCGGAAACCACCGTTTTGCAATGACTGGGAGCTCTTTGAAGGGCGTATGTCTTACAGCTCCTCTTCACCGCACCCCGCACCAGGCTGGGTGTCCGGACTAAAGCAATAGTATGTCAACACCTCGTCGTGCTCACACTGTCGGAGAGACGAGGCCGGAGCGCAGGACCGGCGTCCGCACCTGGGCGGGAACCCCGACGCGCTCAACCTCGGCGTCCAGCTCCGGGTGCGCGGCGGGAAGCGGACACCAGGGGGCAGCCTCGCGCTCGCGCTGGGGGGCTCGTTTCCGGCCGCGCCGGCGCAGGAGGCCGCATGCCGGGCGGAGGCCGCAGGTAAGCGGGCCGGGTGGGGGCGAGGGAGCCGGGGGTCGGGGCGGTGGGCACGCCGAGGCCGAAGGCAAGACACCGCGGGGTGGGCGGGCACGGAAGGGCTCTCGATCTCCTGCGGGGTCCGCCCCTGGCCCAGCCCGTCCTGCCCCGCAAAGCCCAAACCCGGGCCCGGGCCGTGCCAGGCGGGCAGTCTAACCCGAGGGCCCTCCGGCCCGGCCCCGGGCGGCCAGCAGCCGGCTCGCCCCCCGCGCCGTCCGCGCCCCGACAAATGCCCGACGCTGCCGGCACAGGCTTGAGCCCCTTCCCTGCGTTGATTCTGCCCCGGCTGCATGGTGCCCGCGCTGCCCCTGGGTGATGTGCCAGGCATGGGAGTAACCGTGTGCTGCTATTTTAGAAAGCAGGTCTTAGCTGTTTGATTTAGCCTTTTATATAGTCTTGTCTTCCCCATCATTTACCATTACTATTGAACCTTAAGGCTAAGTAAGCGTCCGAAATATTTTAAATAGTTATCTTAATGTTCCTTGTGCTCTGCTGACCCTAATCTCTTTCTTCCTTAGTGTAGAAAATATTTTGTGAATGAGAATTTGGAAATGGTTTTGTACCATTGTTTTTCTTTTTCCTTTTTAAAAGTCAACTGTGAATATAGAGCTGTGGTTTCGTGTGTGTGTGTGTGTGTGTGTGTGGTGTGTGTGTGTGTGTTTTGTTCCACTTACCAGCTTCCCTCTCAGTGTCAGAAACTCCTTGTGTCTAAGCAGTACCCGAATTTCTCCTACCCAATTGGCACCATCAGTTATTCTTTCAGTTGCAGGGTATTTTTCAGAACCAGTAATTTTCAGTGTCTTCTTGCTCATTTCTGGGCAAAAAAATTCTTTCCTTCACACAGCCTTATCTCAGGTTCTGGGTAACCTACCAGATAGAGACTTTTAAAAGAAAGAAGCCAAATTGGTATTAGGGTAGACTACAGCTTTCTTGAAGAATAGTCACTCTCAGTGTCCACTTCCCACCTCCTCTAGGTCCAATTCAGTCCAATCCCTGAGAGTTGCAGAATTTAGAGAAAGAATGTGCATTTGAGACCAGAAAACTTTGTTCCTCTGTGTACAGCTTAGTAACCCCTCCCCCTTGTGTTTCTTATCTGTGAAATGGCAATAATAGCGATTATATCTGACTCACAGAATTGGTGTGAGGTTGACATTGCATAAAAAAATTAGCTGTTTTCGGATGAGTGTTTTTTTCTGAGAGGATTCAGAAGAGGATGTGAGGACTTAGGGGTAGATGAAAGGCTACTAGGACATACACAGTGACATCAACAAGAAATACATTCAGGGATTGTTGGTTAATGATGAGGGTCTGATATGAATTTCTAGACTCCTATAGGATTTTGTACCTGATGTTGACAGGTAAAAACGCTATATGCTTCAGGCCCTCTACAACCTGAATACACTTTTGTGGTAGGATCAGCAGGACATTAGAGACAGAGGATTTAAAGGTTGAAAGGATGAAACATGGGACTTGGACTGGTAAAATCAGACTGGAGGAAGATGTGGAGACAGTGTTGGGGTGCAGGTCATGAAGAAGAAGAGCAGATTTGGGGTGAGCACAGGAGAGAGGAAGCAACATGTGAGGCTGGCTTCATGAAGATGGGAAGTCCTGAGATAGGCTGTCCACAAAATTTTGCTACCTGCTATTGGCTGGCCACAGGGATCCAGGGGTGCACAAAGCAGAAAGGCAGCCTGAGGAACTCACAGTCGGAAGAAGGACACCTGGGCATCCCAGAAAGGTGCCCCCACAGAGAGAGGAAGCCCAGACTGGACTGTGAGGTACAGAAGGTTAGGAGAGGTGCATAGAGGCTGGATCTCAGGGCCTTATAGCAGTTTGGAATTTATCTCGAAGGTTAAATGTTTTTAAGCAAGGAATGATTAAATTTGTGCTTTAGAAAGATCACCCTCCCTGTACGAGAAACTCCAGCACAAGCACAAGGAAGTGTGTATAAAACTCGTTGTTCAGTTGTCATACAAACAATTGAGAATGATGAACTAGAGTTTCTTGTATGCATAAACCTTGAAAACAATATTTAGCTGCTACAAAAAGCAAGTTGCAAAAGGATAGATATTTTACAAGTTACTTATATAAAACTTAAAAGACAAATACTTTATGTATTATTATTTATGGGCACATACTGAGGTGGTGAAAATACAAAGCATGTATGGGCGTTCTATACATCAGTAGTTCTTAAACTTCACCTGGAACACTTGTTAAAACACACATTTCTGGGCCCCGCATCAGAGTTTCTGAATCAGTACATCTGAACTCAAAAATTTGCATTTCTCACAAGTTCCCAGGAACTGCTGCTTCAGGTCCAAGGACCACAGTTTGGGAACTACTGACCTACACCAACTTCAGGATGGTGATTCCTTCTTGCGAGGGAGCGGAACAGGACTTGGAGAACCAAAAGGGGCTTCAACTATATTTGCAGTATTTTATTTAAGAATCCTTAAAAATACGATACTTTGTGACTTGACAAAGCTAGACGGGTGGTCATGATTTTTGGTTTTCTCTATGCTTAAAACATTTTAGGAAAGATATAACCTATTTTCTGTGTGGAGAATGGATTGGGAGAGGAAGAAGTAGGAGACCATGTGGGCAATGGTTGCAGCAGCCCAGGTAGGAGACACTGGTGGCTTAGAGCTGGGTGGCATGACATGGAAGTGAGGATGTAGGTGACAGAATTGACTGGGTAGTGACTGGCTTAGAGATTAAGGGAGAAAGAAATTAAGTTACCTGTTCTGTGGCTTGAGCAAAGGGTGGATTGTGTGCCTGTCAGAAAGAACCCTGGGGAGGTGCATGCTGAGGGCAAGAGTGAGACATTGGGGACACCACAGACCTTGAAGAGCCCCTGAGTGAGGTATAGACAAAAGATCTCGAAATCCCTTTGTTTACATGATCAATGCCTTGTGCACAGATGCAGTTACATAGAGCATGTGTGGGATGCAAAGAGGACCTGTAACAGACCAGAATATTATCATAACCTAAAGCAGGACTTGGCCTGCTCCTCATCACCCCCCATTTTTGTGATAGCAGTTATGAGCTAAGCATGCTTTTTACCTTTTTAAATGTTAGGGGACAGAATCAAAAGAATAGTCTTTAGTGATACTTGAGAACTTTAGAAAATTCATATTTCAGTGACCATAAATGAAGTTTTATTGGAACATAGCCACACTGTGTGGGCTGCGCTCACTCTGATGGCTGAGTTGAATGGACACACAGGACGTGGCCCTCACCGCTTTGCACAGCACTGCGCTTGGGTCACGGTGTGGTCATGACTCTGTTTCAACTTTGGATCCTTAAATATTTACTCCCTGGCCCTTTACAGAAAAAAGTTTGCAGGTCCCTGACCTAAGGTCTAAGTTGAGACATACTTGGAATATTATAGAAAAGAAATGGCAGTTACTTTCTCTAGTTCTTTGAGAGCCCCCTCTAAGGGTAGGTCCTGGTGGAGGTCGCTCAGGGCCTGAGTGGTGAAGATAGTCATAGTGTCACATAGTGTCGTTTGAAGTCCTTGAAGATGACAGGTGGGATGAGCAGGAGAGAATACAGAGTAAGGGCTGGTGTCTTCCTGAGAAAGTTGAGCAGCACTCAGATTGATGACCGTGACTGGGACGACCTCAGGGGTGGCGTGAGCAGAAGATCATTTCAAGAAAAGAGGGATGTTGCGTGAAGTTGGGGCAATTCAATGGAGCCAGGGTTTACCGAGCAGCTCTTCATATATATTAGAGTTTACTTATTTATCTATTTATGCATATAAGAACTGGAGTGTAGGCCAGAGGTACGGGGGTAAAGTGGGTGAGAAGGTTCACCAGAGACAGAGTGGGGAGCAGAACAAGCAGATCTACTGAAACACACTGCTGAGGGGAGCAGCGGGCGAGGCAGAAGTCATGTGGGTCACCTCCCTGACCAGGCATCAAACTCATGCTGCAGTGGCTGGCCATAGCTTGATAGTGCTGAGACTTAACCCCTGTGCCCCCCTTACCAAGCACCTCTTAATGACAACAGAGGTAAACACAGCAGCATGTTTTCTTTTATTAGTTACCTTGACTTACAGAAGATTCCGGTATTTCTAACATCTCCTGCTCATAGGAGGCAGCTATTGAGCTGACTGTCACCTGCAGCCTCAGTGGCCTGGGTCACTAGAAGAAAAGAGTTGTCACTCACAGAGATCATGAAAACCAAAAAGTGGGTGTTCGGGAGGGGAGGGAGATATTGAGTTTGGGAAGTATTTTTGTTGTTCTTTTAAGTTGAGAGATAATTCACATACCATAAAATTTGCTGTTTTAAAGGGTCAAATTCAGTGACTTTTAGTATATTCACAGGTTGCATAGCCATCTCTGCTATCTAATTTTAGAACATTTTCATCCAAAAAGAAATCCTAAACACACTAACAGCTACTCCCCTCTTTTCCATTCACCCCTGGCAACCACCAGCCTGCTTTCTGTCTCTGTGGATGTGCCTGTTCAGGACATTTCATATCAGTGGAATCATATGTCATATAGCCTTTTGTCTCTGACCTATTCCGCTTAGCCTGTTTTCTAGGTTCATCCATATTATAACATGTATTATTAATACTTTATTTTTATAGCTGAATAATCAGTTTAATTGGGTGCATCACATTTTATTCATTCATCAGTTGATGAGCATTTGGGTTATTTCTACTATTTGGCTGTTATGAGTAATACTTATGAACATATACATGTACAGGTGTTGTTATGTATGTATGTTTTCCATTTTCTTGGATATATACTAGGCAGTAGAATTAGTGGGTCATGTGGTAACTCTATTTTTAACCTATGAGAAACTTCCAGGCTTTTCCCAGTGGCTGAATCATTTCACATCGCCACCAGCCATTTATGAGGGTTCCTGTTTCTCCACATCCTTGTCAACACTTGTTATTATCTGATTTTTTTGTTCTAGTCATCCTAGTAGGTGTGAGATAGGTTCTCATGGTTATTGACCATTTTTATGTTTTCCTTGGAAAAATGTCTGTTCAAGTCCTTTACCCATTTTAAAAGTGTCATTTGTCTCTTTACTCTTAAGTAGAAATATTATATTTGAGTTGTCCATTAGACACCCAAATAGGGACATCAGGGAAGTGACTAGAGTTCTGAGGCAGCTGGGATTGGAGTTTTACATCCAGAGCCATCAGCAGGTGGAGATGGAGAGTCATGGCTGGGTGAGATCACACGGGGAGGGGGAGTGGAGAGGGTTAGATGAGGCTGAACTACTCCAGCATTGATAGGCAGCATGGAGGAGCCACTGGAATGCAGGCTCCTGGGAGCCACGTCAAGAAGTTGTTTCAAGGAGTAGGAAGTGATCAACCATGCCACATGCTGCTGAGAGGTCAAAACTGGGGCTGCAAGTAGACTGTTGTATTTAACAATTGGAGATGACCTTGACATGGTCAACCTGGGACGAGTGGAGTGAGTTTGAGAGAGATGAGTTCAGGAGAAAGATGGAGACGGAATATAGCCTTTTAAGGAGTTTACCAAAAAGGGAAAATAGAAATAGAACAATAGCTGGATGGGAAAGTGGGGTGAAAAATGATGGGAGAAGTCAGGGTCTCTGGTTGTGACCAGGAGGAGAGGAAAGGACTGCTGGCGTGTCGGGAGCAGGTAGGGGGGTGGCAGTCTGCCTGGTTGGGGAATGGGTTGTGGGGCCAGTTTGCTCAGAGTCCTCCCAGGATAGAAGGGAGAGGGGCCCATAGCATTGCTCTCTCAGATTGTTTTTTAGGAAAATGGGAAACAAAACCATCAACTGAGAGTGAGGTAGTGGAGGGGATACAAGTTTGAAGAAGGGGGACTTAGACCATAAACCTCTCAGGATCTTGGAGCCATTGCAGCCAGCAAGACCACACAGTGGAAGAACCATTGGAGGAAAAAAGAGAGCTCTTTTAGACTTTGGGGACGTTGGAGTTTAGGCAGGATTGGAATGAGGCTGTGTTTTGATGGGCTCCAAGCCAAGTGGGGTTGCTTGTATAGTGGTCACGATTCAGTCTGGACCACAAAGTGGACCCCAGGGTCCAGATTCCTAGAGACTGTGGCTCACATAGATGTGCAGTGTTGTCTCCAGAACCTGCTCGACTGCAGCACTGCCCCAGCTTGGAAATAGAGGCAGTTTCTCTGTGTCAGTGACTCAGCTCTGCTAGGCAAGAGCAGAGACTTCATTCTTCTTTACAGGACTTAAAATTTCTGATAGTCACATTTCAGAGAACAGTTTCTCGGTGAGTGAGAAAGCTGTCGTCATTCAGCGGCAGAGGTGGTTTGACACTTCACAGTGTCTAGAGCAGCTGGGGCTGGAGAAGCATCGCATGTTAAGTGCAGGCTGAAAGATGAGTGGCTGGGAGATAGTGATAAAGGAACCAGACTGAGACCAAAATTGAGGCCCTGGGAAAATGGGGTCTGGGCTAGACCAGCTGACAGGGCTTCAGCGATGGCCACTGCGCTACAGGAAGACTTCCCTGCAGCTGCTGCCTGTCCTGGGCTCAGAGCCTGAGGGACACTTGGTGCTCGGAGGGCCCCTGGAGAAGATGGATCATTTGTTATTGTTTTAAGTTAAGGTAACATTAGTTGACGACACTGTATAGGCTTCGGGTATACAGTCTCACCACGCCCACGACCAAATGCCTGGTCACCATCCACGCTAGCCAGCTGGCCTTGCCTGTCCCTCACCCACTCTGGCAATCACCTGCCCGTTTATCAGCCTTAAGGATTTGTTTTTGTTTTGTTTTGTTCCATTGCTCTCTTTCTTTCTATTTCACGAATGAGTGAAATCAGGAGGTGTTTGTTCTCTGGCTTGTTTCACTTATCATAATCCCCTGGAGGTCTTTGACTAAGTAATATTCTGTCCTGTCTATGTTTTGTAAATAGCGCCACAATGAGCATCTCAAGTTACTTGAAATAATTTTTTTTTTTTTTTTTGATGGCAGGAGATAATTTATGCGATGTGCCTGGCACTCAGCAGGGTTCTAACCCCACCTGGGATGGGGAAGGACTTCTAAACAAAGCATCTCAGCAAGGACAGAGAGAGTTAAAAATTTACATATTTCAAGAAATAACATACATGCAATTAAAGGCTAACCAACTAAAAAACAAAGATTTTCAACAAGTATAACAAAAGGGGTTAATATCCTTGTTATATACCGAGCGCTCTGACAAATCATTAAGATAACACTAACACTACTTGAAATAACTTTTTAAGTTCATTTTCATGTTCTTCAGGTACTACCCAGGAGCAGGATTCTTGGATCACAGGGTAGATCAATTTTTACTTTTTTGAGAAACCTCCATACTCTTTCCCACAGTGACTGCACCAACTCACATTCTTACCAACAGTGCAAGGGTTCCTTTGCCGCACACCCTCAGAAGGCAGGTCATCTGCATTGTTGCCTTTTGCCTGTGTGCAGAGTTCTGATTATTCAACTAATCTCCTTTTTGGACTTTTTGACAGAGAACTTTCAGACCTGTGCCTCAGACCAACCAGAGCTCTGACTGCCCCACGGTCTGCACAGAGACCTGAGTGAGAGGAGACAACGCTCCTGGAAGGTAACCTGTTTGTCACAAATGTCTCAGACACGGGAAGCACAGGGTCAGCCGGTCACTCTTGTCCCCCACGCATCCCTGCGCTGCCATTCAGCCAGCACACACCGGCCGTCTCCCTCATCCAAGTGTTTGATGCACTTTGCTTTGATTCTTAAATAGCCGCTGCCTCGAGTGCCCAGTGTCCCAGCTCCTTCTCCAGCCCTTTCCCCTTCTGACCCTTCTACCATCCCACAATTAGTGCCTGTCTCTGCCACAGGCCTCACAGCTGCTCCAGGGCTGGAGTCAGAGCCATCCTGTTGGTGAGTGACCACACCTCATCGGTGGTCACCTAGGGTGAGGATGGCCTCTCTGCCATCCTCTCACCATTCTCGCCATCGTCATTCTAGCTCCTGTGCTCATCAGCTCTCATCCTGGACTATTTACTGGTCTCCTACCTGCTCTCCCAGCCTATCCTCTTTGTCCCGATGCACCTTTCATACCTGCTGAAGAATATCCTTTGCTTCTTCAAAATGTTTAGAAGTATCTTCCAAGAAGAACCTCAAGCCCTCATCCTGGCTTTAGAGGCCCGATTGCTCCTGCCTCCACCCACCACTCTAGCTGATCTCCATCTGCTCTTTATCCATCTTCTGCGCCGACCCCACTGGACCAATAGATTCAGTTTGCTAACTACTCACTGAACTTCTGTCTACAAAATGTAGACTGCTGTGGGAAAGACAGAGAGGCACAGACCTCCCTTCCAATCAAATTTAAAGTAGTTAGACCCAGGCTGTAGTTTGTAATAAAAAATGATTATAGGCACAGCTAACAGCATGTTAATAGTGTGAGCCCGGTATTCATGCCTCCTTTTATCCCCACAATGACGCTTAAGCACATCAGCGGCATGAGAGGGCCTGTTGCCTTCAGTCCTTCCTCATCAAAATACCTAATAGAAAGCAAAGTAGACTCTGTTGTGATTTCTTGTTGCATCTTGACATTGTAGGAAATCACAGAGAATGACAACATGGAGCAGAAACCCCAGGATGGTAGAAAGGGCCCCCCTCACCGGGAAGTGCCCCCCATTGTGGGCCTGCTGCTTGCCATGGCCCTCATGAATGTGCTCCTCTACCTTTGCCTGGATCGGTTCTTCATCTCCCCTCGACGTTCTGCAGTGGACCTGGATCACTGTCCCCAGGGATACTTCCGAATGGGGCAGATGAAAAACTGCTCTCCTTGGCTGACCTGTGAGGAGCTAAGGACAGAAGTGAGGCAGCTCAAGCATGTGGGGGAAGGCGCCGTGAAGAAAGTGAGTTGTGCTTTACTTCTGCCTTATCGTCAGGATGGTAACAGGTGGACTGTGGGAAAGCAGCTTCGTGTTATGTTTTAAGAGCCATTGAAATATGTCCACCTTAAGCCCAGTAATCTCCATCTGGAACTTTATTCTAATAAAATAATCCAGTGGCAGGAAAACAGCCAAATGCATAAAGGAGGACTTTTCTTTGTCATTTATAGTAATGAAAAGCTAGAAACGATAACTAGGGGGGATGGTTAATTACTTTATGGTCCGGGGGAGCAGGTGGGAATACAGGCAAGAGGAGGCCCAGTGGACTGTGGTGGGGGTTTTAGTACTTTGGTGGTGGGTGTAGTTTGATAACATACATTTGAAGAAGTATAACCTGCCCTCCTAAAACAGGTAGTGTTGTTAACTAGTGTTCCTTCAAATAAATGAAAATAATAATTAAAAACTGTAAAAAGAAAGTTAATGTCCAATCCCTTGATAGAATATGCTTCACCCATCGAGTTATAAGTGTGGAGTTCTCTGCAGCAATATGAAAAAAATCATCATCCTACTTGTGATTTACTATGGTACCCGGTGGCGCAACGGTTGAGCGCTGGGCTGCGAAGCTGGCCGCAGCCTCTGCAGCACCAGTTCAATCCCCGGCCACTGGCGAGGGTCCCACATGGCGCGACAGACCTTTCCTGCGGCGCCCGCTGCTCCCCTCAGCAGTGTGTTTCATCAGTCTGCCTATTCTGTTCCCCGCTCTGGCTCTGGTGAATCCTCTCACACCCTCCGGCGCTTCTGACTGTACCCAGTGCTTGAATGAATGAATGAATGAATGAATGAATAAATAAATAAATAAATAAATAAATAAATAAATAAATAAATAAATAAATAAATAAGAAAAAGAAAATTAATGAGCAGATGAGTGTGTGATGGGCTGACTGGGCTCCACCTCTATGTAGGGTTTTCTAAATCTTGACTCCCTCTCCCTCCTACTGCTCCAATCTCCTTCTCCACACTTTCTTTTCCCCTTTGTGGAACTTGGAGGCTGTTTGCCACTCTGGCTTTTCACATGTATTCCCCTCTGGGAATACTCTCCTGCACCATTGCCACCTGCAAGCTCCCATCATCCTGTAAGACCAACTCCTGGGAGCCTTCCAGCACCTTGCAAATGGCCCGCAGCATCCTGACCAGAGTTGGTCCCTCTCAGCCCTCCTTCTGCCCAGGGCCCTCGAATTCTGTGTCAAGTATTGGCTTTATAACTAGAGTCACTGCAGGGCTGGGTCTATGTTATTCATTTCTGTGTCCTCTGTATGCAATGACTGTTGAGTTATTTTCCAGCTTAATAACAAGGGTGAAAGCTTCCGCTTTGATGTTCCCTGTGCCTGTGTTTCAGGTCTTTCTGTCTGAGTGGAAGGAACGCAAAGTTGCTCTGTCACGGCTCACCAGCCTGGAGATGAAAGATGATTTCCTCCATGGTCTGCAGATGCTGAAATCCCTACAGAGTAAACATGTCGTTACGCTGGTTGGCTACTGTGAGGAAGACAACACTATTCTTACTGAATATCACCCCTTAGGTTCCTTGAGCAACCTGGAAGAGACCCTAAACCTTTCAAAGTACCAGAATGTGAACACCTGGCAGCACAGGCTACAGCTGGCCATGGACTATGTGGGTATCATTGACTACCTACACCATAGCCCACTGGGCACGCGGGTCATGTGCGACTCCAGCGACCTGGCCAAGACGCTGTCTCAGTACCTGCTGACCAGTAACCTCAGCATTGTGGCCAACGACCTGGACGCCCTGCCCCTGGTGAACCACAGCTCCGGGACGCGGGTCAAGTGTGGCCACAGGCAGCTGCATGGGGACTTCGTGGCCCCAGAGCAGCTGTGGCCCTATGGAGAGGACGTGCCTTTTCAGGATGATCTCATGCCCTCCTATGACGAGAAGGTCGACATCTGGAAGATTCCAGATGTCTCCAGTTTCCTTTTGGGGCATGTGGAAGGGAGTGATATGGTCCGGTTCCATTTGTTTGACATTCACAAGGCATGTAAGAACCAGTCGCCCACAGAAAGGCCTACTGCCCGGGATGTCCTGGATACTTACCAGAGGGTCTTAAATTCACTCAGAGACACCCTGATGTCTCAGACAAGAGAAATGCTATGAAAACCCATTGCATCAGTGAAGAACAAGGATGGGGTTTCAGGAGCAAATGGAATAGATACAGCAATTCTGCTCCAGCAGTGAGTTTTTGCTGTTCAATCATGTGGTTCTTTTTCCACATGTGGATTTGAGCAAATTCTACCTCTCCTGGCCAACTGGACAGAAGGTGCTAAACATGAGAAGCTCGGCTTGAAGTCTGGCTTCAGTTTCTAAAGCAGATTACTCCGGGTGAAGATGCAGAGGAGCAGCTATCTACCAGCTACCAGCTGTCTGAAGGAAGTAACAAAAATACTACTATGGAAAGGCTTCACCTACCCTAATAACAGAATTCACAATCTGCATACATTGGTGTATAAAGGGGCTTTCTAAATGACAGTATGTGAAAGAAACGTGTAGTAGTTCTCCAAAGAACGTTGTGCTCCCTCATTTATTTTAGATGGTAATCAATGTATCTAGGTCTTGGGATTTTTGTGGGCTATCAGTGAGGACTGTCTTTACTGTTTAAATAATTGTTCTGTGACCTCCCCTGCTATCCTCTTTCCAGTAAGCTGGAGGAGAACTCTTGACAGTCTGCTCTCTGAAATTTTGGGTGGATAGGGATATTTAAAAACAGCAAGTGTGAGGAAAAGTATATCTATGTGACTGCATACTTTCCTTCCTGCTGGGTTTTCTGTGTCCAAAATGAATCGTTGTGAACATTTTACATCAACGGTGTCACTCATTGCTGGAAAGTGTCAATCTCGTCCAATTAAGTTGCATGATTGAATCCTTCAGAGAGCTCCTTCAGCTGTGTCAACATCATCCTCCGTGCAGGGGATGATCGCTTTAGGGCATACTAACCAGCACTGAGAAGGTGGTGAAAGCAGACATTCAGGGGCAGAGATGCTCTGCCTTCCCCTGAGCTTGAGCAGGGTCAGAATCACGGAATCACAGGAACGGGCCCACCCCAGGGTGTCTGACTCAGGAGGTCTGGATGGAGTTTGAGACTTTGCATTTCTAACTGGTTCCCAGGTGATGCTGGGACCACATTTGGAGAAACACTGCCCTAAACTTTATCAGGAGGTACTACAGGCAGCAGGATAGGACAGTGTTATCAGTATTATTCCCTATGCCACTGCCTGGGGTTATTGGTCTTGTGGCTAATCAGAGACTATGTGTGTCCAGTTATTTCAGTTGTCCTTTTTTATATTAAAATTCTGCCACAGTGCATTAGGATAGTGGTAATCAAAAGGATGTGGAGAATTGGAGCCCACATGCATTACTGTGGGTTTGTGAAATGGGGCAGCTGCTCTGGAAAACAGTCTGGCAGCTCCTCCAAGATTAAAAAAGAGTTACCATATGAGCCAGCATTTCTACTCTTATCTGTGCCAAAGAAAATTGAAAACATGTCCACACAAAAGCTTATAGCTACACCTTTCTCAATAGACGAAAGATGGAAATAACCCAGATGTTGATGGCTGGTGAGTGGATAAAGAAAATGTCATATATCTATTCAGTAAGCTATTATTCAGTCCTGAAAAGGAATGAGTGTTGATACATGTTGCAATATGAATGAACCTGGAAAACATGCTAAGTGATAGAAGCCACAAAAGACCACATGATTACATTTATATGAAATGTACAGAATAGGCAAATTTCATAGAACTAGAAAACTGATTAGTGGTTTCCAGGGACTGGCAAAGGGGCGCTTGCTAATGGGCACAGAGTTTCTTTTTGGACTGATGAAAATGTTTGAAATTGTAAAGTGGTAATAGTTGCACAATTCTGTGATTATACTAAGTAATACTGAGTTGTGTAAAAGGGGCAAATTGTATGGAATGTGAATTATATCTCAATAAAACTGGGGGAAAAACCCCACCTCTGTGGCAAGGCCTTGTATCCCTTACTCCCTTATCATTCAGCACAGGTAGTTACTGTGTGGAGCTGCTGTCATTCTTGTTTGAGGTTTTCCTTAGATTTTATTTTATTTTTTTAAGATTTATTTATTTATACAAGCACTGGGTACAGTCAGAAGCGCAGGAGGATGAGAGAATTCACCAGAGCCATAGCAGAGAGCAGAGCAGGCAGAAGGACCGAAGTACACTGTTGAGGGGAGCAGCGGGCGGCAGGAGAGGTCTGCGCACCTTGCCAGACCCTCCCCAGCGGCGGCCGGGGTTCGAACCAGCGCTGCAGAGGCTGCAGGCAGCTTCGCAGCCCAGTGCTCAACTGCTGCGCCACCGGTGAGGCTTTCCTTAGATTTTAGACTTTGCATTGGAGCAAGAGTATCAGCTTCAAACTAATTTGTTTTTAAATATTGACACAAACTAAAATAAATGCCATGATGTGGGGAAAGGACAATACTAAGCTCAGAAGACCTGAGTTACAATCCTAACTCTGTCTAATTCATCACATGGCCCCCAAACAAACCAGCTTTTAAAATGAGAGTTTTGGTGGGAATTGTTGCCAACTTGCTCTTTGCCCTTCTAACTTCTGTCTGATGCTTCTAATTCCTGGGCCAGACAAGCCGGCCTCAGTTTCCCTCAGCCAATAAAAGGAAACAGTTTGAGGAAAAGGAAAGTGGTTTAATTTGTTGACAAATGAGGAGGGCAGCAGACCCAAGTCTGAAAGACAACTGTCCTCTTTGGCAGAGTGCAGGGGTATTTATACAAAGGAAAGGGGAAGATGGGCAAGGGTCAGCAAAGGGAACCGTGAAGAGGTCAGGCCAAAGATGGGTGTGCCCAGCTTGCTCTTTTCAACTCCTTGGAATGCAAGAAGACAAACCTGTCAAACAAGGGGGGAATTGCAAGAAATATAGGAAAGACAAACTTGTTAATGCCTATCTGAGAGTCAGGTCATAAATAAAGCAAATTTGTCAAATAAGGGGGAAATTGCAAGAGATGGGGGAAGACAAATTTGTTAATTCTTATCAGAGAGATCTGTCATTTGTAATTGCATGGGGTGGGGGGTTCGAACTCCTGCTGCAGTGGCTGGCAATAGCTTGATAGTGCTGTCTTTAACCCCTGCACCACCGGGAAGGCCCCATGGCAAATTTATTAAGGAAAAAAAAAAAAAAAAAGGAAAGAGAGACCCGCATAGACACAGATGGACAGTCCTAAAAGGCAAGATCTGCGAACTGCCAAAGAAAGGGCTATTCTTTTATAGTTTTTCTGATAAAATCACTGTGGAACTTACCACCTTGGGGTAAAGTTGAGTTGGTCTTCTATGACTGATAATCCCCCCTGCTTCCTCTGGCTGATGAGCTCTTCTGACCCCACCTCAGATTCCTTCCCTAAACCGTATAGTTTAAGTTTCCTTAATCATCCCTACCCCCACTTCTGGGGCTCCTCTGTGTGAGTGCTCCAAGCTAAATTTTTCCACTCTAAGCTTCCATCAGTAGGATCTTCCAGCAGATAACTAAGGGGCGGAACTGCGAGATCACTATGCCTGGCCTTCAACATCATCAGGGGCTGGCAAAGCTCTCTTCAGAGTGGTGGCATTGTAACAGGGTGGTCCCCAGGAAAGGGGGAGGTTCCAGGTTCCTGCCCCACCCAAGGGAGGGTGGAGCTGAGCAGGAAGAGGAGAAGCTGCAGAAGAGACTGAGGAAGGAAGGAAGCAGAATGGAGCCAGGAGACCTGGAGGAGGCGCATGGAGCCTAGAGACACATGAAGAAACTGCGCTTGTCTTTTGGTCGTGGACTGGGTGACACAGATGTGGGTGAGACCCGTGGGGAGGTGACAATGGCAGCTTTTATCTTGATGTTGATTTTGCTCTTTTCCTTCCGGGCTTGTCTGGTTGTTTCTGACCCTTTTCTGTGGGTCCCCACAGGAAGATGCTTTAGACTTGTGGCAGACTTTGGGGCCTTGCTCTGGGCCAATCTCATATGGATGGACTTTTACCCACGAGGGGATGGGTAACTTTGGGTGCTTCATTTAAAAACTAGACTCTTTGCCTTACCTGTATTGTTTCCTAGTTTTATTAAAGTTCCTTCCCATTAAAGTCTCCTATGTTTTGTGTTGATGTGGTGGATGGCAGAACCCATTTAGAATAGGCAGGTTTGCGGGGCTTGGGCTGCCCCTCTCCCTGTCCTATAACAGATTTGGCGCCCAACGTGATTTAGGACAGAGCCATCCGTGGTTAGTCAGCCCCATGGGGAAATTGGGCTTCCCTATGGCACTGGCTACCATAAGCGCAAATGTACCCCTCTCCCTGTCCTATAACAGCATCTCTCCCACTGGAGACGGGGGCCTTGGGGGCCGGGGCTGCCTGCTGCGGTTACCATGGCATCTCCCACGGCAGGCAGAGGACACAAACACTCCCTTGCATGAACGGCTACATGCAAGAATTTAGCAGAATATGGCTCCGTGGGGAGTGGAAAGGGACAGGGAAACAGTGAGTTCCCCTGTCTCTTTTCTGGAAGTTTCTCTCCCAGTACAAAGAAACACGCGGAACGCGAGAGACCCCGGCCCCTCGCGGCGCTCCCCGGCCTGGGCCAGCGCGGCCCGGCCCTCGGACCCTCCCGCGCGCCCGCCCCCGCCCCCGCCCCCGCCCCCGCCCCCGCCCCGCCCCCCCCCGCCCCCGCCCCGGCCCCGGCCCCGGCCCCGGCCCCGGCCCCCGCCGCGGCTCCCCCGCCCAGCGCGCTGACTCAGGCGGCGCGGGTGACGGCAGCGGCCGGGGAGGCGATGACGGGCGCGCGGCCGCGAGGCGCGGGGAGGCGCAGGACCCGGGAGCGCGGCCGCGGCGGCGGGGCGGCGGCCGGGGCGGCGCGGGGGCAGACGCGGCAGCCCGGGGCGGCGGCGGGCGGCATGAGCGGGGCGCGGGGCGCGGGCCCGGCGCTGGCCGCGCTGCTGCTGGCCACGTCCGTGCTGAGCGCCGCGCTGCTGGCCCCGGGGGGCCCCCAGGACCCGGGCGCCGAGGCCGCGCCGGCGCGAGGTGAGTGCGCGCCGCGCCCCGCACCAAGGCGCCCTCCCCGGCCCGGGCCTGCGGGGCGGGCGGGCGCGCGGCGCGTCCGGGCCGCGGCCGGGACCGTCCCCTCCCCCGGGGCGCGGCGCCGCCCCCTCCCGGGGCCGGACGCGCGGCCGGCGGGCCTCGGGAAACACTGCTCCCCGGAACTGGAGCTGGGGGAGCCTGGGCCGGGGATCCCGGTGTGAGCCCGTGTGGCCGCGGGCGCCGGCGCCGCGGGGGCGGCATCGTGGGACAAGGGTGGCGGGCGCAGGGGCGGGGTCGACCCCCACATTCAGACGGCACCCCCCCCCCCAAACGGGAGAGCGCGCCGCCGAGCTGGCCGGGAGGGAGGGGACCCCGGACGCTGCGAGGGCCCGGGGCAGGGCAGCCCGCGCCCTCCCCGCGCGTCCGCCCCGGGGCCCTGGGGCCCCTGGTGTCTTCGGCGACTTTTGTTCAAATAGTAAACTGTGTTTGTGGGGGGACCTGTTACTCCGCCGGGGCTAAGCTAAATGAGACGGGCTGGCCAAGAAAGGGGTGCATCCAACACCCGTCCCCCTAGTCTGCGGTGTGGAGGGACTTCTGTGCAAATAAAGCCCGAGCCTCAAAGACCCTGAAGACTTGCTGCTGGTAAACTCGGGGTGGGAGAGCTGGGGCGCAGAACTCTGCCCTACCGGGTGTTTGGAATTGCGGGGCGCCGAGCATACCAGCCCCAGCACACAGCTGGAAAGGCGAGGCCCGCCCGGCCCTGGGGTAACACTCCCGAGCCAAGGCGGACATGGAATGAGAAATGTGCAGGCGGCGCCGGAGGGCGCTGATTGCTGGAGGTCGTGGTTAAAACTGAAGTGCTGGGGCCTCCCGGGTGGCGCAGGCGGTTGAGCGCAGCTCTGTGAGGCTGTCCGCAGCTGCTGTGGCGCGGGTTCGATCCCCCGCAGGCCAGGGAGCAACCCACAGGGCGCAGCAGACCTCTCCTGTCTCAGCAGTGTGTTCGGTCTGTCTGCCTGTTCTGCTCCCTGCTCTGTCTCTGGTGAATCCTCTCAATCCCCCACCCTACCCTCCCCCGCGCCTCTGGCCTGTATCCTACAGTGACCAGTAGGATTGTTGAGGCGGTGGAGTGCTGGCACCCTGCGGTTTGTGGAGTAGCCGCCGAATGAGCTTCGCGGCCTGGCTGGGGTGTTTGGGGTGGGGTAGGGCGGGGTGATTCTAATGCGCAGCTGGGAGGAGCAGCACTCTGCTCCTCCAGGGTTACCCTAACTTGCCGGTCTCCGAACTCACCCGGGGAAATGGTAAAAATATCAGGGCCATCCTCTAGTCCCTTGGAACGAGGATCCCAGAACCCAGAAAGTGAGAGTTGCAAGTCCCTCCCCAGGGAGTGATTTGCTCTGGAAGGTAGGATCGAGCTTTCTAGAGCTGCGAATTGTTTTGGGGGGAGGACTTATCACCCGGACGGTGAGAGCCGTCTACACCTTTTGCCTCTCATCCCATCCCATTGTCAGAATATGGAGATCAGGACCTCAGTGTGTGTAGCTCAAACAGCCCTTCCTCCTTAACCAAAATCTTGTAGGGCGAGGCCAAAATGAATTTCAAAAAAAAATCTTAGTTGATTAATTTCGGTGTCCTACTTCCACACCTCCAACTATCTGCTGCCTCCTGTGCTAGTGCACACTCCCTTCCTGTTCATAATTAAGGAGCAGACCCCAAGGGATTACATAATCTGTCCCCTCACAGCTTGTCACTTACCGATCAGGTAAAAGCCTCTTTTTTTTTTTTTTTTTTTTTTTTGGTATGTTAGCGTCAGTAATGAAAATTGTTTGAGGACAAAGGTGTTTTGTAAATAGTAATTCCATGTAGTGAGGGAGCACACAAAAGTATTCTTACACTCTCCCCCCCAGAACCTTCAGGAAGCTGTGTTGAGAGGATAACCAGGCTTTTAGTGCCACCTGGAGTCCAGGTTTGGGCTGGACAGCCTCTTACTTAGAATGCGGTGATAGGAGGACTCATTTACTTGAAAAGAGAAACTTTAAGTAGCATATGTCTTTAAAAATGTGCCTATCAAAGATACTCATGAGCAAAGGAATAAAACTAGGAATTTAATATTTGGAAATGAAATACAAGGCTAATGATATATAAATAGCACAGTTACTCAGGCAGTACTGAAAGGTGGCTTTGTTTCATTTTCTCACCAAGACACAGTAGACAGGAAGAGAAGGAAGGAATTGTTCTGCTGGATGCAATGCTCCTTGACCATTGCCCTGCTATTTCTAAAGCCAGCTGTATCAGAAACCCACAGCTTTTAAAAAATATATATTTATTTATGCATATAAGAACTGGGGTACCGACCAGAGATGCGGGGGGTGAGAGGATTCACCAGAGACAGAGTGGGGAACAGAACAGGCAGAGTGACTGAAATACACTGCTGAGGGGAGCAGCGAGCGAGTCAGAGGTCTGCAGCACCGTGTGGGTAGCTCCCTGACCGGCCAGGGGATCGAACTCATGCTATAGAGGCTGTGGATAGCTTCATAGTACTGTGCTTAATTAACCCTTTGCACCACCAGGGAGGCCCCAGAATCCCACAACTTTTTCTTGAAATTGAGCATCAGGTTTAATTTAGATGTCATGTTGGCGGCTGAGGAAAGTTGGGGCTTTGGAATCACAAATATTCAGTGATTTCACAGGCCAGTTCTGTGGCCATGGGCAGTTCTCTAATCCTTGTGAGCCTTCATTTCTTCTGCTGTAAAATGGAGAAAATAACTTGCTCATGAGGTTGGCGTATTATCAAATGGAAGAAGATACATGGAAACTAAGTTCATTGCACTTCACACCTTCATACAGGATCATAAAGTCTTTACACCTTTCTGTTCCCTGCTGGATGTGAACCGTGTTGACCAAACTCTCGGTGTCATAGAGGCAGCAGTGCCAAAGGGGACCTGTGTGTGTGGTGTGTGTGTGTTTGTATTCTTGCACATTCGTGTATACATAAAGGGATGAGAGACCCCGGAAACCCTCGTGTGCACCCATTTGACAAGCATGCCTGTCAAGCCATGGCGCACAGGTGTACTTTGCCTCCTAACATCTCCATCAGGTGACTTGTTCTTTTAATTTTCAATTGTTTTTCTAATTCCCACCAGACTTAAACACAAAAAGGCATGTAGAGCTGAAGATGGACCAGGCTTTGCTGCTCATTCACAACGAACTACCCCGGACAGACTTGACCGTCTACTGGGCTTCTGAACGCTGTTACCATGTAGGTGTTATGTTCCTGCTCACAGGTCTGTTTGCTTTGGGGCTGGCATGCTGTGACTCTTAATGCTGTTGTACCTGAAACCATTCACATGGTGACTTTAGTTTTATAGATAGAGGAACAAATAGGCTATGTAAATTGTTGTCAATATATCAAGGGTACTTTATATATTCTGCATAAATAATTCCATAATTCGTATGAAAAAGTAAATAAGCAAGAGACTCAAAAGATGGCTACAAAGAACAGGCACCATGGAAACTTGCTGTACCAGATAACAGTTATTACAAAGCATGGGCCTCCCTGGTGGCGCAGGGGGTTAAGCACCGCACTATGAAGCAATCCACAGCCTCTGTAGCATAAGTTCGATCCCCAGCAGCCAGGAGCAGTCCACATTGCGCAGCAGACCTCTCCTGTCTCACCCATTGCTCCCCTCAGCGGTGTATTTCAGTCAGTCTGCCTTTTCTATTCCCCATTCTGTCTCTTGTGAATTCTCTCACCCCCCATACCTCTGGCCTGTACCCCAGTTCTTGTATGCATAAATAAATAAATCTTTTTTTAAAAAATTGTAAATAGGGCCTCCCCTGGTGGCGCAGCGGTTGAGCACTGGGTTGGGAGGCTGCCCGCAGCCTCTGCAGCGCCAGTTCGATCCCCGGCCACCGGGAAGGGTTCTACAAAAACAAAGAAAAAAACAAAAAAATTGTAAAAAAGCAAATTGCATAGGATCATGGAAATTCATTTGTGGAGTAAAATTAAGTAAAACAATAGAATGCAAGGTGTGTGATGTATTTCATAATTATGCAAAAAATTTACCTATGAGTAAAGATTGCACAGTTCCATAGTGACACACATGAGCAAATTTTGTCTAAGTTACTGAATTTAAGTTTTTTGAACTATGAAGGAAAAGTCACCTCAGGATGTTCATGTCCTCCAACAACCAGCAGACATTTAAACACAAGTGCTTCATTTCCCAGTGCCTGCTTCAGGTACTCGTCAGCGTCGGCCCGGACGGAAACCCCAACAAGCAGAGCACCGCAGCCGTGGCCGTGAGCACCCAGCACGCAACCATCCTGCAGCTTAATGACACCTTAGAAGAAAAAGAAGTTTGTAGGTTTGTCCTTGCTTTAATGTGACTGAACTAAAGCCTGCATTTTCTCTCTACTTTTCCCCCTTATTTAGTTGATGGGTATATCTTTTCTTCCCTTACAAATATTTCTCTGTATCTTTATGGGTCTATACTGGGAATGTAGATCTCTCAGCCTTGAGGACATTACCAAAATCCAGCTCTGTGTTTCCTAACTCATTTTTCTTTATTTTCCCTATTCTTTATAGACTAGAATACAAATTTGGAGAATTTGGAAACTATTCTCTCTTGGTAAAGCACGTCAAAAATGCAGCCAATGAAATTACTTGTGACTTAGTTGTCAATGAGAATCCAGCTGACAGTAATCTTCGTAAGTACATGCTCTTTGTTGATTTTTTTACACTTGTGCTTTTAGAAGTTTTGGCGTTTGAGCACTGTTTGCAGTACTTTCTGTGATTTAAAACCTGGATTGTACTTTCTTTCATTTAGTTTTATATAATGCATTTATTGTCTGCCAAGACAGTTTTGTGATGTGTAAAAAAGTTATGTATCAACATATTCTGATAATTGTTAATTTGTTTAATTATGAAGCAGAAATAAGCCAAAAAAGTAAATGCAGTGGAAGGAAACTAGAAATAGGACAGCTGACTATCAAGTGTCTTTGCTTGTGTTAGGATTTGGGGTACAGCCTTTCCAGTATGTGTCTCATGTTAATAGTCCAAATGTCTTCTTAGATTAAGAAGGGGCCATTCATTCTCTTATAACTCTACTGAAGAAAATCTGTCACCCTGAGCCCTCCATTAGATAAGATGCTAAATATCTGGGGCATTAGTAAGCGCTGTTCACAGTGAAGCTGTTGAAGGCTGTATGGTCATATCAAAAGAACATAATAGCCAATATGTCAGTACCAACATTTAAACTTTTTTTTTTAAAGATTTATTTATTTATACAAGAACTGGGGTGCGGGAAGGTAAGAGGATCCACCAGAGACAGAGCAGGGAGCAGAACAGGCAGACTGACTGAAACACACTGCTGAGGGGAGCAGCGGGCAAGACAGGAGAGGTCTGCTGAGCCATGTGGGTTTCTCCGTGGCCAGCTGGGATCAAACCCACGCTGCAGAGGCTGCCAACAGCTTCACAGTGTGACAGCTTCGCAGTGTGGCGCTCAACCTCCTGCGCCACCAGGAGGCCCCAACATTTAAACATTAAAAAGAATAGTGGATGTTTGATATTTGTCATAATGAAAATTAGCACTCCTCTTTTACAAAGTATTCTCCAATGTTTACCGAAAATTTAGCATAAAAATATAGGCTTGGGCCTCCCCGGTGGGTTGAGCAGTGGGTTGCTCTGCTGCCCACAGCCTCTGCGCCGGTTAGATCCCTGCCCCAGTTCGATCCCCGCATGGCGCGCAGACCTCTCCTGCCGCCCGCTGCTCCCCTCAGCAGTGTACTCGGTCCTTCTGCCTGCTCTGCTCCTGGCTCTGGCTCTGGTGAATTCTCTCACCCTCCCGCGCTTCTGACTGTACCCAATGCTTGAATGAATGAATGAATGAATGAATGAATAAATAAATAAATAAATAAATAAATCTTTAGGGAAAAAAGAATATAGGCTTGTTCCTCATTTGTTCCCATTTTTATTGTTTGCACATTTCATTTAGACATCAATGTAATGATGTGAAAGCTTGGATGCTTACAGTGCCATATTTGGTGATGACATGTTCTTTTATTTTATAGCTGTGACTATTGCATGCCTTATTGGTCTGGCACTCATCATTGGGATAGCCTTTCTAAGGTTCTTGTTGAGGTAAGCGGATATTAGGGGAGGGACAATTGGAGAAAGTAGAATATAGAAACTGTATATTTAGAAAAGGGTGGTTTGGGCCCCTCCCATGAGCAAAATGGATGCATTTTGTGTCCACTGTGTGCAGTCCGGACTAGGTATTGGGGATTCAGTGCAGATTAAGAGTCGGTCTCTGACTCAGGGAAATGGTGACCAGTTTGAATGGATCTTGACCTTCTGTCCCTCCACATGACTAACAAGTAGAGTAAAATGTTTGAGAAATCATTATTTCCTGAGATAATTCCATGTTTTGCTTCATAGTAAGGGAAAGTGGCCTCTGGTAATTTTAGTAGGCAGCTGCCCTGTTGGATTCTCTTACCCTTCTTGTGCTCTAACCCCCAAGGCCAACCCTCTGGTCCCACTTCCCAGCTCCTGCCAGCCCTGGAACCGGGACATGGAGGATGAGGGAGGTACCTGGGAGCTCAGTGTCTGCTTCCTTCCCAGGTTAAGGTTAGGCATCTCAGAGAGTAATTCCTTCTTTGCAGAAGTTCTTAGAGAATGAGTAAAAAAGAAAAAGAAGGTAAAATAGATCCAGGCCTTGTAAATCACCGTTCACAGGAAAAGTCATGTTTTAAAAGGAGAAAAGATTGATTGGATTTTCATATGCTCACCCTTTGAGGTTCTCCAGAAGGCCCACATGATTTTGCTGGTGAGCAGTGGATTCAGTTGACCAAGCTTCTAGGTCTGCTAGCTTGGAGAGAGCCTGCAACTTTGGGGAGTTTATGCACTTTGATCTGAAGCTTTTATTTATGCTAGAAATAATTTAATTCTCTGTAGGAGAAATGCAATGGTATATAAGGCAGAAGAACTTATTACTGCTCAGAAGCAGATGTTGAACCTAACTGCTATTTAGATACCCAGTATAAGCCCAGAGGAGTTTCATTTCTTTGAGTTAAGGTATTACCTTGTCAGTCCTTTGATAAGATGCAAATGCTGTTCCAGTTTGTTAGGGGGTTTTCCTTTGGTGCTTTAAATATGAATGGACCTATTACATCAGGGTTTTAAATAATTGATAGCTGATAGCCGGCTCTTACAAAAAGGAAAAAATCCACCTTATCTCACTGTGGAGTTGAAACTGTTTTTTGCAGCTCATGGGCAGAAATGGTATTGTTGGCAAGGCAGGAGGCCCTTTGTGTTCCCTTATGACCTTGAAAGTCAAGGGAAGTCAGGTTTGTCTGAACCAGAAAATAATAGGAAAAAGTTTTTAGAGTGAAGCATTTCTTTTCTTTTCACCTGAGTAACAAGCATGTACAAGAAAATCAAGTGCTTTTTAAAAAAAATTTTTTCAGACACAAACTCTGGTGAAGCTTTTTAAACACTTTAAATTATTAAATATTTTCTATCTCCCTTCTTAGTGAACTCTGTTTTAATGGTTTTCATGTGATGGTGCTGTTATTAGTGCTGAATAAACTACAAATGGGAATTAAGTTGCAGGAGGGGAAAAAAAGAAGAAATTAAAAATGTATGCATTGGATATATGGATCATATTTGGATACTGATTCAAACAATTAAACTATAAAAGGAACCCTTATGAGCCAGGGAAATTGGATTGACTATTGTTTGCTGGGAAATATGGGGATATTGGCTAGAATTGCCAGGCAGAAAGAATTTGCCAGAGACAGAATTCAAGACAGGAAAGGTAGATTCACTGAACATCCTGCAAAGAGGACGTGGCTAGAAAGGGTCTGCAAGGCAAGAAGGGCTTGAGGTTCTCTTTTATACTCTGTTTTTGTGGACTTTCTTATTTGGGTGCCTGTTGCCAGTTATCTACTGGGATGTCTGGTCTTGGGCTTTGACCTTTGACACATAATGTGTTCTGAGACTGCTTCCCCATTCCTGGAGCTCAGCTGGTCCTGGTCAAAGTGATGGTGGGTCTTATGGCCTGGTTTCCATGACAGCCTTATCATTCCCTTTATTCAAGCCTCTCAGACTTGCCCATTAGGGAAGGAGGGCTTAGCTTTTAACCTTATTATCAATAGATGATATCCCAACAACTATTTGATGATATTAAGGCATTATTGATAATACCTTAAAATGTGATAATGGTATGTTGATTATTTTTTAAAATAAAGAGAGTCCCTATGTTTAGAGATATATAGTAAATGAAATATGGATGAAATGACATGGTATCTGGGCCTTTTTAAAAAATAATCAACCCAAGGCAGGGAAAAGGGCAGTGGATGGACTTATAGATGAAGTTAGACTGTAGATATTTATTGACGCTGTGTAATGGACCCATGAGATTTATAATCCTAGTCTGTTTACTCCTGCACATGCTTGAGAAAAAGGAAAAGAAGAAAAAGACAATACAGTGAATAATTTGAATGTGCAAGGTTCACACAAAATGTGGGTAGTTTGTTTTTGCCAGTCTAAAATTGAATATTTTGAAAGTTTTTTTCCCAAGGAGAAATCACATTTTAAAGAAAAAAGTTCATATATTTATCTTTTGTTAATCACGTAAATCAATTAATATCATTATACCACCTTCTTGCACGAAAGCAGCCATCTAGAAAAAAGAACATTAGCTATTTGAATTACCTCAAAGTTACTTTCGAACTTCTAAGAGTGCATATTGGAATTTTTCTTTTTATTTAGTAGAATCTCGGTGTTGGGTTTTGCTTTTTGTGTTTAATAGTTCATATTCATATTTCTTTGTAATGAAATTCCCCACATTCTCATTAGTTAATAGCTGTATCTTGGCCTGTGACACAGGTTAAGCTGTCATGTATTGTTTCATTATTCCTACATTAAGTGCACTTTGGTTGTTTGTGATTTTTCCATATTCTTTTTTTTTTTTTTAAAGATTTATTTATTTATACAAGCACTGGGTACAGTCAGAAGCGCGGCAGGTGAGAGAATTCACCAGAGCCACAGTAGGGAACAGAACAGGCAGACTTGACGAAATGCACTGCTGAGGGGAGCAGCGGGCGCGGCAGGAGAGGTCTGTCGTGCCATGTGGGAGCCTTGCCGGCGGCCGGGGACCGAACCAGTGCTGCAGAAGCTGCAGGCAGCCTCACAGCCCAGCGCTCAACTGCTGCGCCACCAGGGGAGGCCCTAACTTTTTTTTTTTAAAGATTTATTTTTTTATACAAGAACCGGGGTACGGGCCAGATGCATGGGAGGGTGAGAGGATTCACAGAGACAGAGTGGGGAACAGAACAGGGAGACTGACTGAAATACACTGCTGAGGGGAGCAGCAGGCGAGACAGGCCAGGTCTGCCGCGCCATGTGGGTTCCTCCTCTGCCGGCAAAGATCGAATCGGCACTGCAGAGGCTATAGACAGTTTCACAGCGCTGTGCTCAACCGCCTGCGCCACCAGGAGAGGCCCCTTCCCTATTCTAACTTTTAAGACTATTATTAATAAGAATTCCAACCACACAGAATAGTGAATTCACCCGGCCTTCGGAACGACTCTTTAATGTAGGCGCTCTCATTATTCTTTTTTATTGTTCAGGGAACTGTATTGTAAGGGCCAAGCATTTATAAGTACTGTTGCTATGAACTTAGATTCTCTTTTTGTTTGGTTAAGAAACAATCTTTGAGGGCCTCCCCTGGTGGCATAGCGGTTGAGCGCTGGGTTGCGAGGCTGCCCATAGCCTCTGCAGTGCCAGTTCGATCCCCGGACACCAGGGAGGGTCCCACAAAAAAAAAGAAACAATCTTTGAAATATTTAATTCTTTGACTTGTATAGAAAATGAACTTTAAATCATTTTTTTTCACTATGTTAGCCTAGCCCATCATTTTGAAAATTCTGCCAAAGAAAATAAATTAACCAAGCCTTTTATTTATTCACAGTTTGGATGACTTTAATAATTGGATTTCTAAAGCCATACATTCCCGGGAAACTGATCGTCTCATCAATTCTGTGAGTTAATAAAACACATCATGTGTGTCATCTGGATAGTTTTCAAGACTTACTGTTTATAATTCCTTTTACTCTTTATTATCTGGCTTAATTAATCTCACTGATACTGTGATGGCCAGATCATGGGTCCTGTATTCTTAATAAAAAATAGTCTTCCTTGAGTTCCCTTCTCTCTCTCCAGTGAGGCTGGAATGATGCACGGTGATGTGTGGTGCGGACACTGTTGACTCCAGCTAGTTAAATAGAGGGTATCAAGATTAAAACAAGAGAATAAAGGACATCAATATTTAATCTACAAATGTGGTGATCTATGTGATGATTAATCTATTAACTATGTGTTAATAAATTCATTTATGTCCATTCCTGCACATATTGCTGTACACTTATACCTGATTGCACTTGGGGACCAATTCTTTGTGGTTTTTTATCAGCATGGCCACTGCAAATAGAGAGAAATAGAGAGAAAACCAAATAGAGAAAAACCAAATAGAGAGAAAAACCAAAGGTCTAGTGGGATCTTTTGAAAAGGGAATTAAAGTATTGTTCAGAATAAGATCTTGAGCATTCTACTCTGTTAATTCCTTTCCAAAAAAGGGGAAAGATGACATTTACTCCCTAGCATTCTGAATCATCATGCCTCTCTCTCCCTGCTTTCTGAAGGAGCTGGGATCTCCAAGCAGGGCAGGTGCTCTCGGTGGTGATGTCCAACCAGAAGCATGGCGCCCACCTCCCGCGCCCCGCCTCCGCTGTGTGGACACTTTCAGGGGGTAAGTGGGGCTCCCTTCTGCACAGTAGCACAGGTAGTCTAGGATGATAGGATTGCACATAAACACATTTGCAACACACTTTGCTTTACGTATTTTTTACTCTCTAGGTTAGAAAGGATTTCTTGGTGTAGAAATAACTCAGCCTAACTTGAACACTGTTAAAACATCCAAGAGAATATGTTGCTAGAGAGGAGTAGCGGGACAGAGTCAGACCACTTTCCACTGTGCATGGGCTCTGAGTTTAGGTCATTCACATCTGAGCAGGTAGCTGTACTTGGGACTACAGTGTGCACCCCGAGTCCAGTTGAGAAAATGTGCCAGAAGAAACACCATCACCTAGAAGGTCACAAAACAGCTTGATTATCAGGCCCCCTTGATGGTAAATCCAGAGACAAATGGTAAATCATTATTCTATAGCTCTGGAAGAAGAATAAAAGCCAGGGCCAAACTCTGAACATAAAGTCTAAAGTTACCTGGCTGAAAATAAATATATGGGTGTCAGGTCTTCCATTTCTACTCACCAAGGCCTTCAAAACTCTTGTGATAACCATCCGTCCCATTTTGTCCCAGCCTCATCAGAGCTCTCTCTGAGGGCACCTGGGCCATATATTTGAAGCTAAGTAATAGTTACTATAATGGTAATAATAGCAATAACAGCAATAAGAATTGCTAACAATTTCTGAGTTCACACCATGTGTCAGGTCTAACTTGTCTTAATTTATGTAACCTCTTAACAATCCTATGAAGTATATATGTCTAATATACCCATTTTATAGATGAAGACACAGAGCCACCACATTGATTAACTTGCTCAGTGTGACTCGGACTAAGTGGTATGGCCAGGACTTAATTCCAGGCGATTGCCCCATAAACATACTTAAGTCTTACTCCCCAAATTCTACAGAACTAACGTCAGACAACAGCACTTTGAGAATCAGTATTATGGCATTCCTCTTTCTGTTTCTCATGGCCATTCTTGGAGATAAGATGTATACAGGTAGGTGGAAATTAATGCTTATTAAGTGCATAAATTGCGTCAAGCACAGGGTAGGTGCTATCCTATACATTATTCTCTTTACTAGTCCCAGCAACTCCATATGTAAAATATGTCCCCTCTTGTACCGAGAGGCACATTGAGGTAACTGGAACAGTTTTGCCCCAGGTCTTATGACTGCTACAAGAGAAGGACTCTTCTACTACAGTTCTTTTATTGTGGCAGCTAAATCACTAGTATAAAATTGAGTGTTGCAATTGTGTTGCTCTTTTCAAGTTACATAGTTTAGTGCTGCCAGTATTAATTTGGCTTAAGACAGCATGTTGGAGATGTTGGTAACAGAAGAACTTTACTGTGAGGTCCTAATTTTAGTGATTAGAAATAATAGTTGGTTTTCATGCTTCATCAGTGCCAGGACTGTGAGTACAGTCGTGCTGCTCCTTGTCACTTGTGCAAGCCTCAAAAGTGTGCTCTTTTTTGCTTTACAGGATGGCGCTAATCATCATGGTTTTTGTTAATTATGGTGGAGGAAAATATTGGTACTTCAAACACGCAAGCTGGAATGGTAAGCTATTTCCTAAAGGTAGCATTGCTTATGTAGTCCCTCCTGCCTCCCGAAAACTGAGGTCAGGGAAGTCACTTAGCACCCACCCTCAGGAGCTCCAGAGATGAGGCCCCACCAGCTGTCTCCCGAGCAGTTGAGTTTCTGACCCATAGAACGACCTTTGATTATTTTTTTAGCCCTTTTGTTTTGTTCTGTCTTTTGTGTGTGGTGACTGTCATGCTTCTCTATAATAACGCGTAGATGCCAAAACACTCTGCTGGAGGTTTGTGGGACTCTGCAGAAGATGCTCAGAGTTTAGTGTAAATGACCCTTGTTATATTCAAGATATGCCTTCCGTCAGTCACTTAGGCAGTCACCTTTTACGACTCAAGGTCCTCCTTGTTGCCAGTAAACTGGGTTGGTCTGAGTAGTGCTGAGTAATGGCTGTGAATCGGGCTTGGCTCTAATGAATTTTGAATAGCACTGCTTAAACTTACCAAACGGGTCCACATATTTGTAGTGTGGTTCTCCTGTGCCCAGTTGTGTTCTTGAGAAGTGCCACAGACCCACTGACTGGTTGCCGCGTCCCTGGGGAGGGTCTGTGTGTTTTATTTCAGTGTTTTCTCATGAACTCTCTGTGTGAGTTTACTTTCCATATATGTCAGCGCATATGGAAACTTTCTAGGTTGAGGAAGTATTTACATTCTAAAGGCGTTTTCCTTAATGTTTGTGTCTGTGTTGCTTCTGCAGGACTGACAGTGGCTGACCTTGTGTTCCCATGGTGAGTTAGTTTCTACCACGGCTCTTCTGTAGATCATGTCAGTTTTTTTATTTTTCAGTTGATGCTGCAGCCTTTCTCTGAGACCTCTCTCTGAGTTCTGGACTGCAGGCCTCTGTCACTCATGAGTGTGAGTGTCACTCTGCTGTTATGAGGTCTTCCCAAAAGTTGTGTCAGTGAATGATTCTTATACTTGGCATCATGTTTGTCTAAGGCCTGTACTTTTAAAAGATGAGTGATTTTTGAAGGAAACATTGTGTTAGCATAGATAGGATATATAAGACCCTAGAATCTTGTCGGAAGTTAAGTCCTGAATATGTAGTTAAATTCCACTAATCCTGAAAATAAGTAAAAAGTCATATTCCCTAAAAGAAATGTAGGATGTTGGTATCAGGGAACGCTGAGCGCCATATAACAGGGCAATGATAGCAATAAAATAAAGTTTAAAGTAATAACAGAGGGCTTCCTGGTGGTGCAGGGGTTAAGTCTCAGTGCTATCAGGTATTGCCAGCCCCTGTGGCATGAGTTGGGTCCCTGGCCAGGGATCTAACCCACATGGTGCAGCAGACCTCTCCTGTCTCACCCGCTGCTCCTCGCAACAGTGTATTTCAGTAGATCCGCCTGTTCTTCTCCCTCCTCTGTCTCTGGTGAATCCTCTCACCCCCTGTACCTCTGGCCTACACCCCAGTTCTTGTATGCATAAATAAATAAAAATAAATCTTTAAAAAAATTAAAGGGGCCTCCCCGGTGGCGCAGCGGTTGAGTGCTGGCTTGCAAAGCTGCCTGCAGCCTCTGCAGCGCCGGTTTGATCCCCGGCTGCTCCCCGGCCACCAGAGGAGGGTCCCACATGGCGCGCAGACCTCTCCTGCCGCCCGCTGCTCCCCTCAGCAGTGTACTTCAGTCCTTCTGCCTGCTCTGCTCCCCGCTCTGGCTCTGGTGAATTCTCTCACCCTCCCGCGCTTCTGACTGTACCCAGTGCTTGTATAAATAAATAAGTAAATCTTAAAAAAAAAAAAAAGAATATTAAAAAAAAATTAAAGTAATAGTGGAGTGTCTGCTAATAGTAGTGCTTCACATCATCATGGCTTGTTAATCTTGTTAAGGGACCTGACTTCCCTCTATATTGTGGGCTGCATCTTCCTGTGATGCTTGAGTGACTTTGCTCCATCATTAGGAGGAAGTAGTGGCCATAACGCCTTTGGCCAAACGTCTTGCATTTCACTAATAACATGAACTGAGGGTTCTTTTGGGATTGGAGGATTTTTTGGTATTTGATGTATTTGGGAAGGAATAAATTTTACATGCCTGCAGACCTGGCAATTATTTGAGTATTCTCTGCAGGAAAGTGGCTTGGTTCCCTTACAGGAAAGTGGCTTGGTTCCAGTTCCTGTTCCTACAAACTATTATCTGATTAGGTGACCCCAAGAAAGGAAGCCGAGGGTGAGGGGGGCAAGGGGGAGGGGCACCAAGGATGCAGTAGAAGCAAACTTTCATGTGTTAAAGCCTCTCCCCAGATTATTAGAAAAATTTACTATTCTGATTTTAAAAGTTAGTTTGGGATAGTAGAAGAAAGGAAAGAAATGTATGGTTCAGACAAAATCAGAGAAAATAATCTTTAATTTTTTTTTTTCAGTAGCAAGAGTGAATTTAGAAATCATTGAAATGTGTTTCTCAGGGAATTTGAGGGCCCACTAGTGAATGTTGAGCTCTTAGGGATGTAGCATCTTCACCATCTCGATAACTGAACAGGACAGTTGTCCTGGACATTTCAAGTTTTCCTTTCAGAGAGGACTTGGAGGAGCCTTGTCAGAGACGCCACAACCCAAAAGGGCTGCTTTCTGATCCTTCCTCCCTATTAACCTTAGGTTATATCAGAAATCGGCTGCTTTAAAAAACTCACATATTTCAGGCCTCCCTGGTGGCCTAAGGGTTAAGTCTCAGCGCTATCACTGCTAAGGCCTGAGTTCTATCCCCAGCCGGGGAGCTAACCCACATGGCGTAGCAGACCTCTCCTGTCTTCCCGCTGCTCCCCTCAGCAGTGTATTTCAATAGATCTGCCTGTTCTGCTCCCCACTCTGTCTCTGGAGAATCTTCTCACACACACACACACCCCATACACACCTCTTGCCTACACCCTAGTTCTTCTACACCAAAAAAGAAAAAAAAAAAAGAGAAAAGAAAATCACATGTTGCTTTTCTTACAGTAGATTGTCTAATATATTCATGGACATATGGACCAAAAACATTGGAAATGGTCACTTAGTAATAGATTTTTTTTCCCTTAGGTTTGTATTTATTATGGGAACCTCGATTTTTCTATCACTGACTTCCATACTGCAGCGGGGGTGTTCAAAATTCAGATTGCTGGGAAAAATTGCGTGGAGGAGTACCCTGTTATTCTGTATAGGAATTGTCATCGTGAACCCCAATTACTGCCTTGGTCCATGTGAGTATTTTCCACTGTTAGTATATATTCAGATTGAAATATAGAAACTACATGTTATAATTTGAAAGAAATATAATTCTGCCAGCATATATTCCTCCTGTAACAAGAACAGTTATTAGAAAAATGTATATGATGCTTATAACATTTTGGGATTATTTTAATACCTTGGAATTTGGAGCTGGGAGCAGCCTCCAAGAGCACACAAACCCTCCTATTGTATAAACCAAGACTCTGAGGCCAGGAGAGATTGAAGTGTTTTCTCTGGAATAGCTGGACCAGGTTGCCTGGTTCTCAGACCCTGTCTTCTTGCCACTTTGGTTCTGTCAGCTTTCATTATAAGGCCTGTGTGGGAGTTTAAGAATCCACCTTTGTCATCCCATGCGTGGCAGCTGGCTTGCTGGCAGGAAATGACATCTTTGCCATAGATTTAGCAATGTGACAGCAAAGTTGAGGAAAGAATGTAAGCCCTATGCTTGGTGCTAGCATCTGAATCAGGGAAGGTGGTGCTCTCTGTCCTCAAGGATCTTATAGGTTCACTATCAAAAGGGGCCATAAATCTAGACATTAGCCAAATGAATTCCACTGACTCTAGGCCTTAGGATGAGGTAGAAGTGATTTCCAGTTGGAATCATAAGGGAAGGTGTTACATGAAGTTAATCAACGGATCTCCAGAAATGGGCCACTGCTTCCAGAGGGTGCGTCATAGGATTCATCATAGACTTACATTCTCCTGGCAATATAGTCACATAGCCTGTAGAGCAGGGGGAGTCTGCTAGTGCCCTGTGCCAGGTCTGCGTGTTCCTGTTCTCTGTGAGAGATAAATCTGTGCTCCTAACAGGAGAGGGCCAGGAGATGAACTTGAGGACCAGGGTAGTTCCTGCTTTATTCCCACACTCCAGGGAAACACCCAACTGGCCAGCTCTTTGCTGTGAGTTTGAGCCAAGTCCCTTCTCCTGAGTGGGATTGTCCTGTTCTTGGAAGTTGGATTTCAACCATGTCTCCTGACATAGGTCTTTCCATCACCAGGAACTTAACAAGAACTTAATATAGGTATATCTTCCCTTTAGAAAAAAAATCATGCTGACTTGGTGGTGTGAAATGAGCCACGCCAACACTTTCCCTGATTGCACTTTCTGCAGTGTCTTGGGATAAGGTCCGGATCCCTGGCGTGCTCCAGCGGTTGGGGGTGACTTACTTTGTGGTTGCTGTGTTGGAGCTCCTGTTTGCTGAACCTGTACCTGAAAACTGTGCCTTGGTGAGAAATCCTGTTTTTTAAAAAAGAGAGAGGGGAAATCATTGTACAGTTTTAGAACTTCCTTTAGTTTTGAGTGTAGTAAGCACTTCAGTAGATTCTTCAACTCTGAATAATGATACTATGTGCATTTGTATAAAAGGTTTTGTGTGAACTCTTGGCTATGGGAATAGAATCCCTTCTAGTCTCTCTTATATTTTACTATGGCATTTCACAGAGCAGGTGCCTCTGGACCCATCACCTCATATGAAATAAGCATGATTGTATTTTCATATTCCTAGTCACAGAGGCCAAAAGACAAATCCTGGGAATTTCTGCAGTACACAGACTGCGTATTATTCCCATTCTTCCTGCACTTAGTTCATGCCTGCTTTTTTTTTTTTTTTAAAGATTTATTTATTTATGCATACAAGAACTGGGGTGCAGGCCAGAGGTGTGGGAGAGTGAGAGGATTCACCAGAGACAGAGTGGGGAACAGTACAGGCAGATTGACTGAAATGCACTGCTGAGAGAGTGGTCTGCTGCGCTGTCTGGGGATTGAACTCATGCTGCAGATGGCTTCTTAGGTTGCATCTTAACCCCTTGTGCCTCAGGGAGGCCCTAGTTCATGCATGCTTTTTGTGCCCTTCACTCAGGAGAGAAGCTGCTCTTTTCTTCGAGACCTCGTGTCAAGCTGGCCCCAGTGGCTCTTCATTCTGACGCTAGAAAGCATCTGGCTGGGTGTGACCTTCTTCTTACCAGTGCCTGGGTGCCCCACGTAAGCAAACCTGCATAGCAGTCCCTGTGTGGTCACTTCCTGTCACCTGAGAAGTCCATCTCTTGCTCCTCTTGTGGTGCTTGGTGTTAGCAGAGGGGTTTGGTGTGTGTCCAGAGAGATGATGCCTTGGGCTTTTCTCAGGGTCAGTTTGAGTGGAAGTTGGGGCCCCCACTGTAATTTGTGGGGAGCAGTGAAGTGATGAGAGAGCTGGTGAGAGCACATGCCCTGGGGGTGGCTAAGGCTGCTGGTCAGGGCTCATGTTGGGCACCAGGGAAAGCACATTCCTGGATCCCTTCCCGAATCTTGTCGGCTAAGTCCTGTTTTTCACTTCCCCAGCGGTTACCTTGGCCCGGGTGGCATTGGCGATTGGGGCAAGTACCCGAATTGTACCGGAGGGGCTGCTGGCTACCTTGACCGCGTGCTGCTGGGAGACGATCACCTTTACCAGCATCCTTCTTCAGCTGTGAGTGGGCTGGCTGGTCCCTGAAGCCAGACACCTAGGAGCTCTGAACGAGAGAAGGAGAGGGCTGGCAGGATCTAAACTGTCCATTTGATAACTAGGATGGGAACTAAGTTTTATTTGAGAAGTTGGCTGGCTTCAGTCACTTTACTGTTCATTATGGGACAGGGTGGAAATGCCAGTTTGGGCTTTATTTATTTATTTTTAAAAATTATTTATTTATTTATTTATACAAGCACTGGGTAGTCAGAAGCGCGGGAGGGTGAGAGAATTCACCAGAGCCAGAGCGGGGAGCAGAGCAGGCAGAAGGACCAAAGCACACTGCTGAGGGGAGCAGCAGGCGGCAGGAGAGGTCTGTGCGCTACGTGGGACCCTCCTCCGGTGGCCCAGGGAGTGGCTGGGAAGCAGCCGGGGATCGAACTGGCGCTGCAGAGGCTGCTGGCAGCTTCGCAACACAACGCTCAACCACTGCGCCACCGGGGAGGCCCCAGTTTGGGCTTTAAAATGAAAATGCCTCCTAGAGCTCTTCCTCAGGCCCCAGAGTGACTCCCTGCAGTGCACTCTGATGGGATCTGTGTGGGCAGCTGGCCAGAATTCTGGGCTCAACATCTGTTGGAAGCAGGCCTGGTGGTAGAGGCGGCGGAGAGCAATGTGATCTCACATACCCTGATCTCACGGGCTGGGGGTGGGAAGGCTGCAGAGTTGTTCTGAATTGGGGTGCTGGATGGGGCCCTTTATATCCCCTATTGGATGTGGACCACCTCCAGCAAGGGGCCGTGGCTCCTGGGATCGGGGGGAGGGGCAGCTCTTCAGTCAAGGGCAAATCCAGAAAAGGGACTTGGCTAGCACTGTTAGCCACTGAAACTGCCAGCCTCAGGGGATGGACATTTTTGTCCTGCAAGGGATGTGATGGGGGATCTGGACGGTACACTCCAGCCTCCACTACATTATATTTCCACAAGTCTAGAGTTTCTGCAATGGTGTGTATTTTATAATAAATAAGATATATGTTAAATTGTTATTTGTCATAAAAGAAAATAGGACATTGTTAATGATATACTAGGATTAACCAAAAAGAATAAACCTAGGTGTTATGAAGGAGACATGCATAGTATTTATCAGTGTATGTCATGCTGCTGGGCCCAGGCCAGCACTGTCCCCCAAGCCAGCTGATATCAAAGTGACTGTGCTCATCCCTGGGCTCTGGGGCACCTGTCTCAAATCTCAAGTCTCACTTCCTTGGCCAGAGATATTTTAATTCTAGAAGGCAACAATGAATTTCTTTAATTAAAAAAAAAAAAGAGTTGAATACTGGCATGTATTCAAGTTTGCATTTAATCTAGGATATGTTTGTATTTATTCTGTTATCTGTGAGTGACAGACCTTCTTGTTCTATTTTGTCAAGGTGCTTTATCATACTGAGGTGACCTATGACCCAGAAGGAATCCTAGGGACCATCAACTCCATTGTGATGGCATTTTTAGGAGTACAGGTCAGTTCATCCATTAGGACACATTTTTTTCCTGATACTTTGTTGTTATCAGTTCATCACTAGTTCAAAATGATTTCATTAAAATAAGTAATTAGAGGTATGTTTTCTGTGTATTACAGGGCTAATAAAATCTGTTTATAATATTGTCAAGACTTGAAGTTGCTAAAATTCAGCACATCCAAATAATTAGGACTAATTCCTATGGTCTCAGAAAACATTCCCGTTGTCTATATGACTTATCTTACTGCTGCCAGACTGGGCCTCTTGCCGACTCTCTTGAGCCGGTCTCTTGTTACTTTTGGAGAGAAAAATGACTTAATGGTGTTCCTTAGCTCCCCGTCCTCCATGGGACAGAGACTGTGCCTGGCAGTGATATCTACAAACCTACCTGCAGACCTTACTGCCCTGCTCACCCGCCAGCCTCTCGGAGTGACCTGCAGCACCTCGGGTGCCATGTTCGCTTACTCTGCCTCTGTGCTTGCTGCTCCATTCTACCCAGCACTCCCTGCTTTGTACTCAGCCTCAGCTTGACGGCACCCGCTTCCAGGACGCCCCCTCCTCCTGGGTCCCATGTCATTCTCAGTCTCCACTGGCCAAGAGCAGAGGTGATGTTCATTCTTTTGAAATCCCAGAGTCTGCAGTCTGCCTAGCAGAGGAGTCTAGGGAGCGATTTGGACAGTAGATGAACATGAAATGACAGTCCATCATAGGTGACTGTCTCAGTGACATTGTGTTTTCTTCTCCAGGCAGGAAAAATACTCTTATATTACAAGGATCGAACCAAAGATATCCTCATCAGATTCACCGCCTGGTGTTGTGTTCTAGTAAGTAACTGACATTCCTTACGGAAATGCCTTCTCTTCTCATATATATATATATTTTAAAAAAGATCATGTTTAGCATCACTGGGATAGCAGCTGTCACACTTCACAACAGGCAGCATTCGTCACTTGCATAATAGAGAGGAATACATCCTTACCTTAACACCTAAATTCCCAGGTTTATTTTCACAAGAAAATGTTTTTATGAATAAGACCACGTTGCCATCTGGCAGTCAGTAGTATGGAGAAATGGACCTGCATGTGGGTTCTGCAGGGCACCGTGCCTGAAAGTCCAGGCAAATCATGACAGGTTTCCAAATGTCAGTTTCCAGAGTGACAGGTGACAAAAGGGGTTGTAAAATTGACTGCTCATCTTACTCCTGACCTTGTAATCCTTCCATCAGGATTCATTGTGCCCTGTTAATTATTTCACCTTCAACTCAGAGGAATAAGGAAAAGATGGTATTTTTTGGGAAAATGTTTTTAGTTACACATCGTAAAAATATTTTCCCAGTTAAAAGAATAAAATTAAGGTGCAATTTTCAGCCCTCCCAAAGCAATTAAATAACTAGTGTTTTTTGGTCTTGAAACAGAATTGTTTTTTGAGTTGATATATACAATAATAGCTCATCCTTCTTCCGCAATATAGGGGCTTATTTCTGCTGCTTTGACAAAAGTTTCTGAAAATGAAGGCTTTATTCCAGTAAACAAAAACCTCTGGTAAGTACAGTAACAGTGTCATGTGACGACCTTTCCATGGCACTGAGGTCGTGCTCCTCAGGGGACCTGAAACACTTCACTCAACTCCTTCCAGGTCCATTTCGTACGTCACCACACTGAGCTCGTTTGCCTTCTTCATCCTGCTCGTGCTGTACCCCATCGTGGATGTGAAGGGACTGTGGATGGGAGCTCCATTTTTTTACCCAGGCAAGTGCCCCCTGACCCCAGACAGAGTTGATGGTGGCGACAGATGGACCACACAGGGGCTGAGAGGTTGTGCCCAGACTGGGGTCTCAAACCACGCTTGGGTGGCCTGTTTCTAAGACACAGATGGAGGGAAAAAGCAGGCAGACCTTACTGCTCCTTGCCACACAGGACATCTCTGGCCTGTTCCAAAGTAGTTCACCCCATTTTTACCCATTTAGATTGTGGGGGCATAAAGGAATTCCCTTTGTTTTTTCAGGCAATTCCAAATGGTGGGGGATCAGAACCATCCAAGGCATGTCACCCAACTTCTAAAGCTTCAGAAGTTGAGCCATACTTTCTGTTTTGAATATTTTTTTCATTGAAATAACGTTGTATTATAACATTATATAAGTTTCAGGTGTGCGTCATTATAAAACATCGGTATAAGTTCATATGCTTTTTTACCATTTATGGGTAAAAAATATTCAGAGATGATTATCCAGAGACAAATGGAATGGTTTAGATGCAATTCCACCTGAAGACTGAGAACTAGACCAGATTTCAGTGACTATCTTCAGCCCTCTGATTCCAGTGTTTCTAGTAGTAGTTACATTCTTTGGATCTCAAGTTTTCTGTCTAGAAGATTTAAGCTAATAAATTTGGCTTTCCCTTCAGCTTTAGTATCAAGAATTAGATACTAAATTTTTACAGAATGAGTATGCTCTAATAATTTCATGACAGACTTATACTTTCATAACTAAGGGCTGCATGGACTATTTTGGATAGTAGGCAGTACTAGAAGTGTGTGCTCTTTGTTTTTTCATTGAACTAAAGTCAGATTTCAAGAATTCATTAAGGCCTCCCTGGTGGCACAGGTGGTTGAGCGCAGTGCTGTGAAGGTGTCCACAGCCTCTGCAGCGCGGGTTCAATCCCTGCCGGCCAGGGAGATATGCACATAGAGCTGCAGACCTCTCCTGTCTCACCCGCTGCTCCCCTCAGCAGTGTATTTCACTCAGTCTGCCTGTTCTGTCCCCTGCTCTGTCTGTGGTGAATCCTCTCACCCTCCCGTGCATCTGGCTGTACCCCTGTTCTTTCATGCGTAAATAAATAAAACTTTAAAAAAAAAAGAATTCATGAGATGATCAGAAAAAGCTGACCATCTGTGTCTTGCAGGAATGAATTCTATTCTGGTGTATGTCGGCCATGAGGTGTTTCAGAACTACTTTCCCTTCCAGTGGAAGCTGGGGATCACCCAATCCCACAAGGAGCACCTCACTCAGAACATCGTTGCCACAGCCCTCTGGGTGCTCATCGCCTACATTCTCTATAAAAAGAAGGTTTTCTGGAAAATCTGATAGCTCCAGCTGAACTGTGTTGCTGGCAGACCGACTGCTGGGTCTGGGGGAGTGTTGAGGCAGCCTTCGGTAGGGGGAATCATTCATTATAATTGACAGGATGTGTGATTTCCAGACTCTTGGGGCAGACTGGGTTGCTGTGACATGGCTGCCAACACTGCCTGTGTATTTGGGACTTACGTATTTGGAATATAATTGTTTTTTTTTCTCCATCGTCTCTGTAAATGAATGTATTTGAATTCCCTTGGGCATTTTGTTTCTGTGATGGATAAAATGATCTAAGATTTGATTCCTACTGTTTTCCTGCAGACTGCCTTTCCACATGTATACACGCCAAACGGGAAAACCAGAATTTCCATTGTGGCTGACTATAAAGTTTATTCAATGTGATGTGAAGTAACATGGTATATATATTTTGGTTACTTGCAGATACAGTTTCAAGAAAGTAACAATAATTGGCTTTTAAAATTTATTTGCATATATATATTTACATCATTTTTCATTTTTTTACAATGTTTGCTTTCTTTTCTCAGGTGTAGTCCCCATCTAATTTCCACCACTAGTTCCCTGTGCACCATCACCATAGTCCTTTGTGCTTATCCCTCCCACATTTTGATCCCTCTTCCTTCCTCTCCCCTGCAGAATGTCTCCAATTTATAGTTGTCTACTTATTTCTGTTTTGTTTTATTATGTTTCTTTAATTGTTATTATTTTTTAATCATTGGCTTTTTAGATATACAAGGCGCTAATGGGTCCAAAAATTGCCTTTCTCGCATAAGCCATTTTCTCCTTTTCCCCACTTAAATAAAAGTTAAAAATATAGATGTGCTATTCCCGGCCACTTGTTTAGCTATCTATGTACCTACGTATCTTTGTACTTGTCTACCTACCTATTATTTTTCTGTATTATATGGTAGCCAGGCACCTGAGGACACAGCCTCGGAAGAGAGAAAAGCAGAGTCTGGCTCACAGCCCCCACCTCGCCGTCCCTTGCTTAGCAAGGCCCCTGGCCTGGGTGGACCTCAGTTTCCTCATCTGTAAAACAGAGGAGATGGAGATGACCATGTAGGTTCTTTCCAGCTCAGTCTCAGTGAGGTGGGAGCAACCAGTAACTTTTCTGAAATCCTTAGAAAAATAACTGTTACAGAAAAGTCTTCAAAATAAGTGATGATGAAAAGTTAAAGAAACTCTCATTGGAGTAACCTTTTCAGAATGACCCTCCACAGTGGAGGCGCCTGCTCCCATCACAAAACTGAAGGAATAGTTTCTCAGGAGTGAAGATAGAACACACGCAGAGAAACAGCACTTTTCATATGATGCATCATCATACTTAATGAATTTTCTGTGAGAATTCTGTATTTTAGGAACATGTGCCGCTAGGTTGTTTCTTAGACCACTCTTCCACCAAGGCAGGGGCTGTCTTGGTGATTCCATGGCTTCAGCTCTTGCCACTGCATGGTGCCTGTCTAGTCCGTGTGCGGCATGGCCTCTGCCCTGGCTCTCAGACCAGGTAACTGCCTGCCTGGCCCTCCACCTGACGGCCGCCCGCATCAGGCTCACCTCTCCCCTCCTCTCTTCGCACAGTCAAACCTTTTTCTCTCTGGATTTCCCTAGTTCTGTCACTAGGTACAGCCCTGCTATCATGTCACCTCCTTTCTCCCCCATATTTTAGTTATTTTTCCAATATGGAAAGAAAAATTTTATTGAAATACAGAAAATAAAGACCTTCTGTATTTAGTCATTACCTAATCTTCTTAACCCTGTCTCCATCATCCACCTGGAACTTTGTCATTTTTGCTGTCACCACCTAGTTACTCTAGTTCAGGCTCCAATCACTCTTAACCTGGCCTACTATCAATGCCTCCTTCTGTGAAGTCACCAGATCCACCAGATTAAACTGTATCGGATCAAAACATCTCTGTAAAAAGCTTCCACTGAAGTTGACTGGCGTAGATAACCATCCTCAGTGGAGGATGTCTGTCCAGCTCTCCCCTGCTCCTACCCCCCACCCTGCAGCTCCAGTGCAGCTGGAGGCCTGCCATCTCTGTCACAGAGCTAGTAGTCATCCAGGATTTATTTTTTCGTTTTAATTTCCTTCCTATCCATATCTGACCTGTTATTTTTCACCCCCCTACTTCTAAGGCACCTTCTCTAATCTCATGTTCTCATCCAAAAATAATATATTCTTCCCCTGGGTTCTCTTATTTGTGTCAGTCTCATGGACTTTATAACTTACTGCCTTGTATGCAAGTTAATTGTGTGTATGTCTGATTTCCCACGCTTGTTAAAGGCAGGAATTAGGACTTGTTCATCTGCATACTCTTCGTGGCGCACAGTGCCTCGTAGTAGGCAGACACTAAATAAACATTTATTAAAGTAAAAATAGCGGTGGTGTTTTTGTTGTTAATATATATGTGCTGATAGAATTAGCATGTGAGTGCGCTGTGAAAATGTTCGTGGAGTGATACACATGGAGACAGACATCTCTCAGGAATGTCTCAGACATCACAGCTGTCTCATCTCGGTCTCTCCAAAGTTATCCAGCAGCATTTCTTAAATTGGGGAGTATACCAGTAGGAGGTGTTTTGAGCCACAGGGTATCCTGATTAGGCTGGATTATAAAGAAATCTTACATCGTTGCAACCCTCAGTGGAAGGAGAGGCATCCATGCTACAGGTGTGTCTCATAACTTTACTAGCCAGAAAACCCTCCCAGAAGCCTCTCAGCAACTTTCCCCCATGTCTTTGTGACTACCAGTGCCTCACTTGACTTGCAAAACCAGCAATGACAGGGAATGTGGCGTGACTAGTCTATGGCTGTGGGGGGGAAGTGCGACCTCCTTGAAGAGGCAGGAATGCTGGGGTTGAGTGACAAGTGGGAAGTGACTGTGATAGGGGTGAAGGATGTCCTGAGCAAACTCCATGCAGGCTTTGTGGACTCCACCCCCCATGACACTGGGAACTACAAATCCCATGATCACCAAAAGGGAGGTTGCAAGGACCCGAGGGTGGAGTTAAGCAACTAGGCTCTCAGGTTTGGATATTTAACTGGCCATATGGCTGGGGGTTGCCCCTTGGCCACGCTGTGTGCTAGGTTTTTGCCAGCTCACCAGGTCATTGGGATTCCAGGTCAGCGGAACAGGTAGGACACATTTACGAACTTATCTCACTGTTTTTCTCCCTGAGTTATTCATTTCCCACTTCCCCTTCCCTTGTAAATCAACCTTTCATCAACCTTTTGTTATGTCTGCAGTTTAGCATTAATAAGTCCCCTTTAAGCATGCGGGTGAGGTCCCACAGTCAGGCAACCCCATTTTATATTGGGGTTTGCCCTGTAACAGCTGCAGAGACCACTAATGAGGCCACAGCAAGTACATGGTGCATGGCATCTCACAGAGAGGTCAGGGTGGAATTTGAAAGTGGTAAAGCACTATTCTAGAGCAGGGGTGTAAACATTTGATATTAATTATTCATGTTTTTGTGCTTAAATCCCTAATTCCCGTTCATAGTTAAACTGCTATTATATTTTACCTTTTTTCACTTTGGTCAATAAAGAGTGTCTTCTATAAATACAGCAATCCAGTTTGTATCAAAGACTACCAGATTAGGTGAATTTCAACATCCTACTTTTAATTTTTCCATTACATTAAAATTGTTTTCCGCATAAATGTGACAAATGAACAGAAAATTTCTTGACATATCGAACTGCCTTTTGAAAGAGATGTGACAACTGTAAAAAATTGTATCTATTGGAAAAGACTAGGAGGAGATAGTTAAAAATACAGAATGGCAGCGTTTGAGATTTCTAACACACCTTTTGTTTAAATTTTGACATAAGCGGTAAAACGCATCGCCAGTGTTTATCTTAAGTTGTATATTTGTATAGGCTGTTTCACCAGGGTATCGAGCTGACATTTTTCTCTTTGTGATCAGTACATTGTTTCTCTTCTAGCTGCATGCAATTTAAATTCCAAGTTGATGGAAATGTGAGATGTTTTTCGTCTGATACTTGATTAAACCCTCAGTGTCAGTTGGCTTGTAAACTGGCACCTCCATCTATGCAAATCCTGCCACAGTTCTGTCCAGCTGACAACCTGTATCAGTTTGACAGATCACAAGTCATGGCTAGACAAAGTTAGACGCTACAAATTGGTGAGGGGAGGCTTTGTTCAGTAAGACGATTACAGCTGGCAAGAGGGTCCAGCTTGAAGTGAACTGGACTTCCTCCAAACAAAAGACCAGCTATCTGGGTTTTGTGGTTGGTGCTTCCATCTGGCAGGAGGCAGTGGTGCAAATAGGAGCAAGGCGATGTTTGCATTTCAGAGACAGTTCTGGGTCCTTTGAGCAAACAGCTTAAGGTGGTTGTTTTACAAGGATGGAGGTGGGAGTTCTAATTGGAAGCTTTCTAAAGTACCTGCTCTAAGAGGGTGCTTGGGATCCAAATGCAGACCAGCAATTCGGGCTGGAACACAGTAACTTCTGGCTGCATGTGGCTCTCTCAGGCAGGCCTTTTACGGGCACAGTGTATGTGCTAAGGTCACCTGGGGACAGGGCCTTAAACTGTCAGAAGGATGCTGGAGCTGGAGTTTGGTTGATGTTTTCAATGCAGAGGTTGGACAGAGTTGTCATCTGCCAGAATCTGCAGTCCTTTCTCTGCCTCTTCTGTGCAAATGGTCTGAGTCTCCACTTTATCCTGTAGTCCTTCCACTAACGTCATTAAATTAAAAAAAAAAAATGGTTGTTTCTTTTCATTTGGGTGTTAGAAAGTCTTATTTTCATGTGGGCTGCCACAATCACTGATCTGAGGAAGGTGCTGAAAAAGTAAAGAGATGAAAAATGAACAGTTTACATATTTGTAGGAAACATTGATAAATACTTTAAACTAGACAGGTGAAATAGTTTCTGAGATTAGATGTCTGTTAGTTAAATCACCTATTGATTTTATTTTTTTAAAAAAGATCTATTTATTTATGCACATAGGAGCTGGGGTGCAGGCCAGAGATGCAGGGGGTGAGAGGATCCACTAGAGACAGAGTGGGGAGCAGAACAGGCAGATCTACTGAAATACACTGCTAAGAGGAGCAGTGGGTGAGACAGGAGAGGTCTGCTGCGCCATTGGGTTTCTCCCTGGCCAGGGATCAAACTCGTGTTGCAGTGGCTGCAGATAGCTTCATAGTGCTGCGTCTTAACCTCTGGTGTCACTGGAGGCCCCAAACCACCTATTGATTTTAATTTCTCTCTTAATAGGGTCTTATTTAGAGACAATTTCTAAAACTTCTAGGCAAAATAGTCAGACAACTTCTCAGCTCTTTTATTCTTAAATAGCTCCAAGAAACATATGTTTACCTGATTGTAGGGTAAATAGCAACATGTCAGGCTTTTCTGCCCTCCTACCATTCGATTAGATGCATGCCTGATGGCAGACACCTGGAGGAGGGTGTGGGCATGCATGGGTGGGTATACTTGGGCTGAGACTGGCTTATCAGAACAGAACTACCAGAAGGATAACAAGTGAGAGAGCAAAAGGAGCTGAGAGAACAAGAGCAGAACCAGCAGAGAAGCAGAGGTCACAAGAGAATACCCGAGAGCGCAGAAGGAGTGGAGATTTGCTGGGAGCTCGAAAGCCTGCCAGCCTCCTGGTTGCTGCCCCCCCCCAACCCGCCCCACCTGGTAAACTGGTAAACTGCCATGTACCTGGTAAACTCAAAAGCCTGAAAGAAGCCACCGAGGGCTCTAGGATTCCTCCTTTACCCCGGCTGCTCGGGATGTAGAGATCCTGCCCTGCGCCCCTCCTGCCATTACACTGATATATTTCAGGAACAGCAAAAGAAAATATGCCTGAGAGCTGACATGGTTGCACATACATGCACGCTGCTCTTGGAAGCATTTCATATGAAGTTCACATTCAGCCTTTGTAACAACCTGAGGAAGGTACCATCATTTGTTTGCCCGACAACTATGCGATGAAGAGCTTTGCTACCAGATGCATGTCGTGGCAGGGGAGGAGCTCATGGCAGGCAATGAAGGAGGAAGTAAGATGGGCAGACCCGTTTAGTTAGAGTTACTAGCTGCCTGGCCTTGAGACAGCGTTTTGAAACATGCTAAAATAAAGGGCATTCTGGAGGCAGCCCCACACCATGAAGCAACACCTTTGTGGACCAAGGTCAGCCTCGTCTGCACATTCTGGGAACTAAACATCCTCCAGCCAAGGAGACCCTGGCGCTCAGACTCCATAGATGGCTGGAATCAACTAGACAAGGACCTGTCACGGAGTTCAGCCAGTTCAAGACAACAGATTACTAACCAACACACCCGCCCCCCTTTATTTCAAATAAAGTATATAATTCGATGCTTCTTGCCCCTCAGCAGCTACCCACTCGAGATCCCTCTCTGTTCAGAGAGCTTTCCTGTTCTCCTTATTTGACAATAAACATCTTGTTTTTGTCTTACTCTGGCCTCAATGTTGAATTCATTCCTCTGACGTAGACAAGGGCTGGGAAGGGCTGTTGAGGTCCCGCTCTCAGGCCTGGCCTGATTCATCAGTACTGCAGATGAGTCTAATTTTCCCACAGGGCTGACTCACTAGGAGTAGTTACTCTTTTCCAGTCAAGGAATAAGAAAATGGATACTGGGCAAATCTGAGGGGTGCCCAGTTGCCTTAAACTGTTGAAGAGAAACACCCATGTTGCCCAAACTAAGGGTCCATGGCACCTGTGCACATAAAGGCAAAGAAAGCAGACTCTTTGTGTTCAAAGATTTGATTGGTGAGAAGTTCAAAGGGGAGAGAGGAGAAAGGACTTCAAATAATAGACTTCCTTTCAAACTCTGAAATCAACAGTTCCCCAGCTGATGAGGCAGGACCCAGAGCTAAGCAGCCAGGTGACTAGTGAAGACACTAAGAGAACAAGTCCAGGGCACACAACGGCAGGAACCTTAAGCAAGGTCAGGCAGGTTCCAGACAGCTGGGACCAAAGGAGTGTCAAAATGAACCATATAAGCTGAACCCACAAGAAGGCCATGACAATGGTTTCCACTGTCTCTGCAGAGCCCACCTGCCAAAGTGCGCTGCCAAGACCAGACACCAGGAGCAGCCTCCCCATGTCTCTCATTCCTCTTCATTTTTCACCAATATATTCATTTTATTCCTTTCTCTTTCCCAGCAGCCCCCATTCAGGAAGTCTTGTTCATGGCATGCTGGGAGTTGTAGTTGAAGGCATCTGAGATGCTGGTAGCATGTAAGTGGGGGTGGGGAAAGTGGCGCCCATTCCCATTGCCATGGTGATGCTTTTCCCTTGCCATGGTAATTTATTCTGTAACAGCTTGAGGCCCAGAGAAAATGGCTCATTCCTGGTACATGGCAAGTAAAGGGCTGAGCAGAGCCAGGGTGGGAAGTTAGTCCTGGGCAGACTCCACCAATGGCCTAAGCACTCCCTTTCCTGGACTGTTCCCTAGACTTCCACCCACCCACCAGAAGGTTGCTCAAGTTCATTTTTTTAATAAAGTTTCTGGTATTAAAACTTTCCAGGTGAAAATGTCTAGCATCTAGTAATATATTGATATATAATATTTACCAGGGCCTAAGTATACAAAATAAAATCTTGAGAGCAGAGTGAATAATGCCTTTTAAAGTAAGGTGGACCTTGGCTCAGAAAATCCTAAGAATTAAAACAAACAAACAAATTCAGGATGACTTTTATTTACAAAACAGGTTCTTTTGTTTTACAAAAATTACAAAAAAAGATTCTTAAAAATAGAAATAGCTTCTCAGATTCTTGGGAAATAAAACTTTGAGCAACCAAGAGTTAGAATTCAGATGATCTTGTTTAGAGTTGTAACAGCAACATCTGTCAATGTGTCAGGTCCTCCCCCATGGTTACAGGGCTCTGAGCTGTCTCTGGTCTCTAGTGAAAAGGTCTCCATCAGGCCAGAGTCTGAAGGAGCAAGATCTTCTCATTGATGCAGAACCTGTGCAGCACCACCATCAAGTTCTCCCCACAGCGAGACACCTGGCGCTCCATGGCCAGGCGGAAGTCCTCCTTCACGCCCTTGCTGATGCCCCTCGTGACTGTGTGGTGCCTGAGGGCAGCGACAGGGAAACAGACAATACCAGGGTTAGCTCCAGCATCACTGCAGGGTTTCTGGGGTAGAGTAAAGCCTGCCTCAAATCTAAGTATAAGTAAGCAAAAAATTAACAACAGACAGAAGTCCTGCCCAACCTCCATTCTGCCCATTCCTTCTCTGAAAAGACTTCAAACTTGAGCACTATTTTCCCAACTCAATCAAAGGCACCTAAACTTTCAGTCAAATGCCACCTGCTATTCTATTACCCCTCTGCACGCTGACCTGATGCCTCCCTTTGCTGACTCTTGCATCAGTCAGCGACTTTGGGCTGAATGGGGCCAGATGACACTGGCCACACCGCTCATGTCAGGCCAGCTGAGTGCTGAGGAGGCAGCAGGGAGGCAGGATGATCCAGTCACCACACAGCTCGGGCCTTAGGCAGATGCACCATGAAAAAGCCAGAAAGGCTTGGTACCTGGGCACAGCTGCTGGGTGACAAGCACATCTCTCTCCCTGAAGCCAGCACAGGACAGTGCCTCTGAGGGCTTAGCCCACCCAGATTCACATCTGTATGAGAAATAGCAGGAGTTGGGGTCCTGAGACAAGTCTGGCTCAGGTGGGGAGAGAGAAGCAGAAATGTGGAAAAACAGGTGCATGCAAAAGCCCACTGAAGACCACATCTGGTCACGTGCTCAGGAGACCTGCACCACAGAGGGAGGGCCAATAGGAACACACGCATGGTTTCTAACTGTACCCCGTAAGGTGTGCTTTCAAGAAGGAAAACACAAAGGAAATCCCAGAGAACTGAAGACAGCAAAATGACGAAAGGAAAGAAAATCTAGCAAAATTCAATGGGTTTGGTTAAAAGAAAAGTTTTAACTGCTAATCCAATAATTTGGCAGAATTAGATAAATAGAAGTCACCTCTCTTCCCCACCCTTGCTGTCTAACTTCCCTTAGACACAGCCACAGGGATTTAAAATTAGATTTTTATGTATTGGTCAAAGTAAAATTGATGAAACCACATTAAAATGGTTGTTTTTTAAGACTTGAAATATCATACATAATAAGCACAACAGAAGTCATAAAGTTGCAATGCAAAAGAAGGAAAAAACCCCAGGCTTTGTTAACTAGCAAAGTGCTGCCAGCACACTCAACAATGCCCACGGTCATTTTAAAGAACTACATGGTAAAAACAGCAGTTCCCCAGGGGGAGAATGCAGTTTGTTCTTTGTGGGCATTTCTAGTGAAGTCTGGCTGTTAACTCAGGACAGTGTGTGTGAGTCCAAGGCCAGGGACCCACTGGGAAGAAAGGCAGACCTTTCTGCACTGTCCTGGGATACTGCTCTTCCGGATCCCAAACTGCAACCTCAAGTGGGAGTCTACTCTGACCAACTGAAAGTTACTGGTGTTTGCAGACAGTGCACTAGAGGGTGTTGATGGGTCAAAGTCAAATTTCCCCTGAATGCTAGTAAAAACAAAATAAAACGGTGTATCCCACTGCAAGTTCAGTGGTACTGTTTCCATATATAAAGAGCAAAAATAATTCAGTTCTATTTCTATCAGAGCTTCTACCCTTCTGCTAAGTTTGGATGAAAAAGAGAATCAGTTTGCTTTTGTATTAAAGAACAAGATAAATCAAGTAGTATATG